TCAGCTGCCAAGGATAGGAAATGCTTGCCAGACTTACTACTGCCTGTTATTTTGGCGAAAATGGCCATTTTTTTTCCCCCATAATTCTACTGGGAAATGTTTTCAACATAAATCATATTTCCAAGTCGGATGATCCTGCAACAGGGTCTTTACGACAATGGAACCTCATCACCGTGGATGAAAAAGACCAAATGGCTGAATTTTGGCATAATATGCGACTTTCTTTGCTAATATAATATTAATATATCCAGTAAAGGAGTACATCGTTGCAGTTTGCCGAAGGCTGACATCAAGCTGCAGACACTCGGGATGGGGCGTGTCTCTTCGCATACTTTCTAGCTATGCTTTGGATGATCTCTTACGTTGAAGATTGAGGTGAGAGCATCTAGTCTGTCCAATGCGGGAGGGGCAGATTTGATAGACAAGAAGGGTGTTAGCTGCGGTTGGTGATGTATTCCTACAGAAAAAAAAATCTACAGATGGGAATTCGACCGACTGATAGTAACCCAAGTGACAGGGTTTATTCGTGGGTTTATGCTGCGATCCCGACAGTGTTGTTATGTGCAGAAAGGATGGAGATTGCGGAGGGATCATAGTGTGATTCTGAGGGTGTTGAAAGAAACCATGTTGAACTATAGTCTGTTTGTGGCTAATTTTATTTTTATTTTATTCATGGCTCTACATCGACGAAACTTGTAGACATCTCATCCACTTCTTCAGAAGTGGCTTATTCTAGTTTTACATTCGTCTATCATACGTCCTGGCCGTTAAGACTCTGGAATAAAAGGGGTGAGGGCGCCTGCGCCCATACCGAGATGCGAAATACAGGTCACACAGTAATCGGATACTACACATCTTCAAACTCCTCGTCGTCATCCTCATCCGACTCTTCTTCTTTCTTGACCTCCGGTTCAGTCTTGACCTTCTTCGCCGTCGGTCCTTCATCACTTCCCGTGGCTGGCGTCGCCGCTGCTGTCTGAGACGTGCTGACGCTCGAGTAGTCCGTATCCAACTCCCGCTTGATGCCTACCGAAGACGTAGTCGAAGTTTGCTGCATCGGTGCACTGGTAGGGCCTCCACCAGGCGTAGGCGTAGCATTAACAGCAGGGGAACCACCCGCATCACTAGCAGACACACCCACGTCCTCGAACTCATCGAACTCATCCGAATCCTCTTCCGCACTGCTTGCGTCTTCCTGCGCCTGGAGGGCCTTCTCGCGCTCCATCTCAGCATAGTACGCCGCGACCTTGTCATCCAGACCGTTGATCTCCGGTTTCCGGTCTTCGTCTTCACCCTTGATCTCCGGTTTGATGTCGACGTCGGTCTCGGATTTGACCTGCGGCCCCCCGCCCGCTGACGTGGACACCGTGGAGTGAGTGTGCCAGACTGGCAGGGCATTCTGTTTCTCGACTGCTGCTTTGCGCGCCGCTTCGGCAGCTTGTTCGGCGGCGGATTTCTCTTCGCTAGAGGTGAGTGAGATTTCGAGGGCGGTGGCATCGGTCTTGGTGTTTCCGCGGACGGCTTCTTGTTGTTGTTTCGAGGGCACGATGACTGCTGCTCGCGTGGGGTGGGTTTGCTGGTTCCGGACGACGTCGATTTTATGGTCCCAGGCTGTGTCGAAGTCGTTGGGGGGGATTTCAACGGAATCGATTTGTTTGAGGAGTTTGAGCATCGTGTCCAGTTGGTTCATTAGTTTGCTGTTTTTCTCGTGCCCGGTTCTGTCGATGCCTTCGGCGCCTTTGACATCTTCGGTACGTTCGAGGATCGCCCCGCAATTTTGGCATTCGAAGCCTTCTTCGCTGTAGAGACTGAGGACGTCGAGTTCGGTCCATTCGGAGCCGCAGCGCAGGCAGATGTATTCTTTGCGCTCTTGACTGGGTGTGTATTGTGCCTTTATTGTGGAGGTGAGTTTCGAGACTTTGTATTTGATCGCGTCGACCACGGGGTGCAGTGGGATGTAGTAGTATTCGCGGTTCACGGGACGTGTTGAGCCATCACGGATTTCAGCGCGCGTGCTCCTGTTTTTGGGTGATTGTCAGTGTCGGTGGTTTCTCCGTGAGGGTGATGTTGGTATAGGCGTGGGTGTAGCTTACACGGAGATGAGGCGGTCTTCGCGCAACTTGGCGCAGAGTTTCCGTAGGTCTTTTTGTTGCATACCTAGGAGGAATGCAAGGTCTTCTGCATGTAGACTATAGGTTATCTGGTCAGCATGGAGTGTCCGTTGCGATGCGATGATATCGGTGCGGGACGTACACGGAGTGGATGAAGAGCGCATCTACTACGAGGATGTGGCGGGTCTCGTAGAAGGCGCGCACGACACTGCGAATGAGAGTGTTTGCGAGATCCATGGTAGCTGTTGTAATTCAATAATTTTATTAGGAGGCGGAATATAATACAAAGAGGGAATGGTGAGGTGGTGGTGGTCAAGCTGGAGATTCAGTCGGCGCAACCGGCGCAAATGTCCTTGTCTTCCAGTGTCAAGCTCGGCGCTGCAAGATCACCATGCTTTGTCGGAGAGCTACCGATAGGACGTAAATAACGAGAGCTCGGTTATAGTATATAACAGGCCGACAGATACCGCGCAGGGAGAGTGAGGGGATTGACTGGCGAGAGATGAAAGAGAAGATGAGGTTTGAATGAATGAAGCCGGCGGAGATGACCGACACCTCAGGCATACATGCATTGTTCTGCCTGGGGCATGCACATCCCCGCAATCGGACTAGCGCGGAGATAGAAATCCGGCAACAGAAAGAAAAGGCGAGCAGAAAAGCGCATCGACAAGCAGCTTTTCCCATGCCGCTCCACATTATCCTGCGACGCTCTTTGGCCCCCCATTTGTCAATTTCCGGCGCGCGCACTTCTCTGCGTACCCCCCAAGCGCGGTTCTATTCTCCCGAGTACCTACAATCGCTCAAGGCCCGTCGCATTCCATGGACAATAACGAAGGAAGACCTCCGCAAGCCGGAGGCGGAGCTGATCGAGGTCGTAAGAAGCGGAATATGGGACGATCCGAGTGGAGGTATGTTGTGCCAGTTCCCCGATCCGAGATATCTGGGTTGAGCAATCGATTGTCTGACTTCCAGCTAACCCAGAAAGTCGGAATATGGTAGATAAGAGAGCCCGCCACGATGCTCAGCAGGAAGCGAAACGTCGCAAGATCGAGAATGGAGAGGATGTCAGGGCTCCTGTGTATGCGACGCAATTCTCTCAGGAGGATATCGAGAGCGAGCAGCGCCGCCCCAAGAAGAAGGTCGCCGTGCTGCTGGGATACTCGGGAACCGGATACAAGGGCATGCAATTGTATGGTTACAGTCTCTTGCGAATTATCTCAGATTATATTGGAACTCTTACTGATTGTCGGTAGGAGCGAGACGGAAAAGACCATCGAAGGAGAGCTCTTTGCGGCGTTCGTAGCGGCTGGCGCTATCTCTAAGGCCAACGCAACTGATCCGAAGAAGTCATCGCTGGTGCGGTGCGCGCGTACCGACAAGGGTGTCCACGCCGCGGGAAACATTGTCTCCTTGAAGTTGATCGTCGAAGACGAAGACATCATTCAAAAGATTAACGAGAAGCTCAGCTCGCAAATTCGCGTATGGGACATTCTCGTCACGAACAAGTCTTTTAGCAGTTATCAGCTGTGCGACTCTCGCATCTACGAATACCTCATCCCAACCCACTGTTTCCTGCCGCCTCACCCCAGCACTTACCTGGGTAAGAAGCTCGTCGAGTACGCCGAGAAGGAAGGTGACATGGAAGGTTACAAGGCCCGACAGGAAGAGGTAGCGAGCTACTGGGAAGAGACCGACGAGAAGTACGTCCGACCGATCCTCGACAACACGCCCGAGGATATCCGCAAGCTCGTTGAGAAGGTGCTCCACCTGAACGATGAGGACCGGTCCGCGCAAGACGACATGTTCCAGACACAAGACAAGCCCGCATCAGAGGAAACCACCGAACAGCCATCTACTGAAGAAAAGCCCGCAGCCGCCGAAAACGACGAGGCCGAAGAAGCGCGCCGACGTAAGGTCTTCGAGACCGTCAAGGCCATCAAAGCCGCCTACCTCCAGGCGAAGAGGGCCTACCGCATTCCGGCCCAACGCCTGGCCCGCGTGCAAGAAGCCCTGGACAAGTATGTCGGAACGAATAACTTCTTCAACTACACCATCCAAAAAACCCACGCCGACCCATCCTCGAAACGTCACATCAAGTCCTTCAAGATGGCCGAACAGCCCATCATCATTAATGGCACCGAATGGCTCAGCCTCAAGGTCCACGGTCAAAGTTTCATGATGCACCAGATCCGCAAGATGGTTGCCATGGCTGCCATGGTTGTGCGCTGCGGCTGTGATCCCCAGCGCATTGTCGAGACCTACGGTGCCAATAAGATCGCTATCCCTAAGGCGCCTGGTCTGGGCTTGCTTCTTGAACGGCCCGTCTTCGACTCGTATAACCGCAAGACCCATGAGACGGGCAAAGACCCCATCGATTTCGACAAGCATGCTGATACCATTAATGAGTTTAAGCAGCGTGAGATCTATGATCGGATCTTCCGTGAGGAGGAAGAAACTCATGCGTATGTTTATCACTCCCCTGTTTTCCTTGATCCTTTCACAAAACTAATACTTGTATCTAGTTTCTCCGCTTTCTTCGGTCACCTCGACCACTACTCGCAAGAGGAGTTCCTCTACGTCACATCTGGTGGCATTCCGGCTGCCAGGCTGGTCTCGGTGCCTGCTAACGGCACGGAGGAGAAGAAGTCGCAGCGTGAGGCGTTGGCAGAGGTAGAGGGTGCTGCGTCGGAGGATGAGGGTGCTCCCCCGAACGGAGGCGAAGAGGGGGGTTAGACATATCGTCCATAGCTAATTTGCTGTTTATTACGAATGGTTGATATGTTAGACCTGTATGTATAAGAGCTATTGTTGTCCAGTAGCTATCATGATATATCGTTTCCAAAAGTTGCCAACTAAACAAATGTTTGATAAAAGAAAAGGGGGGCGTAGATCGCCCCGAAGAACCGTCCTATCATTCTGGCTGCTTCTCGTTGTTCTACCCCCGTATTCCTTTCGAAGTTGCGAAGCAAAAGGAGTCATGATCGAACCCCTAGACAATTCTGCCTGCATTCTGGCAGACGAACTGGACCACACACTGTGGTCCGATCAAATCACGATACCCTTTGCATATGCATCCATATACTTGCCCAAAGATGCGTCTGTAGCCATTCACGGTTAGCTTACCAAATAACCAACTGCTAAGTATGGAAGGGTGGGAGCAGGCAAATGGCAACGTACAAATAGACACGGCCTCGTTGAGCGCATCCTGCATATAGGTGGGTGCACTCTGCATGCCCACATCAAGAGTAAGAGGAAAGGAGTCAGTCACTGCGATTATACATCCCGACTTGTCTTCTTTAGGGAGGGGTTCTCGTACCGCCAGATTAGCTCCGTCTTGCAGCCAACCTTTGATCTCTACTGCATCGGCCTGCACTGCGTTCCAGTAGCTTTGGAGAACCTTGACGTTCTGCTGGAACACAGTGAACTGCTCATCGCCCAAGGTCTCCAAGCCAGTTCGAGCTTGATCAATAGCATCGATTTCGGCATTTTTATCTTTGATCTGCTTGGTTTTCTCATCAATCTGATTTTGTATGACTATAGAGATGATTTTGTAAGCTTCGCATCTCCCCAAGAACTAGGATTTCTGAGAAAGCAGACTTACTGCCCATGGAAATGGCGATGCCGGCCACTGCAGCAGCCGTGGCTCCGGCGAAAACAAGACCACCGATCTGTAAGATATATCCATGTTAGTTATCAAGTGTCGTGAATCTATTTCCAGAAACAGGCGCCCAAGTAAAGAGGAGGGGGGGGGGGGGGGGGGGGGAGAAGGTGGAAAAAGGCAACCCAGTTGAGCAGGGACATACCAAGATAAATGGAGCAACAGGCCCCGACAAGGCAAGTCCAATACCAGCTGCTGACAGCCCGGCTCCCAGGCCAACACCGAGTGCCAATAGAGATATACGCAGCTTGCCCAATTTGTCATTCAAGTCATTGAATTCTGCGAGTAGGTCCTCTATATCCTGTCTCAGTTCCCCCTGCTTATCTTTACCCCACTGACCGAACTGAGCTTTGAACAAGATAAAATCGTTGACTAGATTATTGAAATCCTTATTAATCTGTTCGCCCTTCTCCCTGAATCCATCTGCCCTCTATAGTGAGCGAACCAGTTAGCTTGTCGCAAGATAGCATGCATATATGGTATGGATGACCGACTTCAATGAATTTGTTGATTTGTTCCAATCGTAGTTCCACGGTTAGACTTTCATCAGAACATAGCGGAACAATAAGCTTATCGAAGCCTAGAGTTGCAGTGGATTGTCAGCGTGAGGAAGTCTGGGATGGGCAGAGGGCAAGTAAAACTTACTGGAGCCATACTGACTGATTTCAGCTGCCATAGTCCGGCTAGTGGTGAGCACAGCGTTGTATTTCTTGCAAAGACGAAGTAAATTAGCATAAATGATTCAAAAACACATGTCCAACAACAGAAACTCTTAAGAGGGAGAAAAGAAGGGGTAGCGGGGCAAATCATCCATACGGATTTATTCTCATTTAACTGCACAAGAAAGTTTGTCTGTTCGAGCTGATCGATTTCGGCAATCTTCACTTGCAATGCTGTGAACGAGCCATCAATCGCCACGACTGCCGCGCTGGCAGCACTCGCGTCCTCTTGCATCTTGGCCACTGTGTCCTCCCTGGACATGGTCTTTGCGGCACCCAACGACAGCTTCCTCTTATCATCCTCGGTCTTAATGGGATTGTTGGCCTCGGCTCCATCGCTGAGAGCTTTCCGCTCCTCTTCAGAGAGTGATGTCGCTACGTCCAGATACTTCTGGGGCGTAGGGTCACTGCCCACCAGCTGGTTGACTTTGTTGGCGACCTCCTCATAGGAGGGTGGGGAGTCTCCAGCCACGTAGGTAGGAGGAGGAGGAGGAACAATCGTTGCGGTTGCCATTGTAAGATAGTGGTGGATTGAATGGTCTGGAGAGAAGGGAGTAGAACGAAAATAGATGAGTTAGCTTGTGGTGTAGTCTGTTCTTCGAATAGATACGAGAGAATGGTGCTTCAGGGTCGATAGTAAGAGTCTTCATGTCCTTTGCTGGCTACCTTATATACTGTAGCCATCGTTCACTCATTCATCCTCTTTTCATCTCGAAAGGAGGAGGTGGCAAGTCTGCCTGCATATTCTTTTCGAGATGCGTCATGCTATGCACATCCCTCAAGCTGAGCTGCCTCGGAACTTGCAGTAGATGTTGGCTACCAAGAGTCGAGGAGAAAGATGACAAGGATGATAGTTGGTTCGGGAAAATGGAGGGGAAGCAGCTGAATCCGCCAGGTCCCCATGTCGCACGTCACCTGCACCGCCAAGGCACAGCTGAGATTCAAGCGAGTTCAGCATTTCGGATGACTGAGTCCAGCTTCTGCCTTTGCCACCTGCTCAAAGTTGAAAGGAATCGCGCTATAAGACATGCCTCAGGAAAGAAACGAAGTGGAGAATGTGAACGAGTTGTGGTATTGTTGAGTTCAAGATGCAGCTTCATACATGACATCTAGGAAAGCCCCACACCCACACACACTAGTAAGTGATTGATTAAACTTGGAGTGTCTTTCAAATCCCGGCGAAACAGAGTTATCTTCGTGCGAGATATGCTAACGGTGAAGTGGGGTATGTGTATGCGTATGCATGCAGTGTAGGAGGGGAAGATCGAAGAAAAGTCCGTAATTTCTCAGCTGGTGTGTCGCAAGATAATTAGTTAGTGGGAGCAATGAATCTATTAGTCGGCTAGATATACTCATTGCGGCGTAGTAACATATAAGTGCTATACTAGTATGATGGAGATAGGGATATTAAAGGCCTTAGCCGCATCGTACTAGTACGTGTATCTTAATTGTCCGGCCGTTGGTCTGGACGGTCTTTCAGCTGCTACCTTATAGTCTACATTCACCACTTAAAAAAAAAAAAAGGATACAGATAAATTCCCCCGCTTGATCGGTAGCCAATAAAAATTCTGCTTAGGGTAGATGGGTGCCCCAAGACTGAGAGCTCAGTGAGGCCTGGACTTTCCCCGTCTCTACACCGCCTTTTTTTGGTGGCAAATACACGCCATGAACCCCTGTCAATGACGGAGATCGATGAATTTACCCGAAGGAATTGAGGTGTTTATTTTGTGGGTCTGTCTATCTCCAGACAGAATGCTTGTTTCCTTGCAGCAAGGACTAGAATTCAATATGGTAGATCGTAGACAGAGAAGTTATGGATGGCCGAGGTAACTGCAACATCAGGCATACCATCCGGATCAGAGATAGCACAAGACTACACCACCTATGCGCAACTATGGATCCTCTCATCGGCGTTTAACCACTCATCCCAAGGAATTTGACTAGTCTCTTCGGCGTACAGTCGCAAGTACTTGCCTACTTCCACATCTAAGCCAAGGATTTAGTTGTCTACGCATTGCATCTCAGCTGAATGAAAGGAGTGGATCCTCATGTGGACTTACAGATCTTGGCCCCTTCATTCAATGCCATGTTCATGTACGTGGGCATGACCTGATTGAATCAGTATGGAGAGAGTAAATGATGTCAGGAGGTCAGAACTTACTACGAGCGAGGCACCATCCTCCAGCCATAGCTCAATTTTTCGCGCATCGACGAGTGTACTTTGCCAATAGCCAGCGAGGACTTCAATATGCTCTCGAAACTCGTCGAAATAGTCCGTGTTCGTATCCATTGCACTTCCCGATCGTGTGGCTAGGTCGGAGATGACTGTATCGATAGGTAAATGCTCCCTACTGGTCACTATAGTCTTATTAGAAGACTAAACCTAGTATGGTAGCGGTGATGAAGATTGAAAGGAATACTCACTAGATGCAGCTAAAGAATAGGCCGCGTTGATCGCTTCGGGGTTTGCGATTCCAAGCAAGCCAGCAATCTAATCTCCGTCAGCGCGTCTTCATTTGGCCTATTAATGTATTATGATGCTTATAATACCGTCACATATGACCCGAACGGTGATTCCAAAGCGACTCGGAGTGCCGGGATATTTGCATCGAGCGGGCCAGCTGAAAAGACCGCCTTTGCTGACCTCGGTGCAGGAAAGGTTTTTGCCTCTTTTTCGTCATTTGCGTCTCGCTCCAGTAGTGACTGGCTCCCAAGTTGGACTACGAAATCCAGAGTTTTGTCGAATATCGACTCTAGGGTGCTGTGCATCTCATTGGCTGTGATCTGGTGTCTTTCCGCATCCTAGCAGAGACCGACGTGTCAATCAACAATCCGTAGTCCGATGACTCTGTTGCCAAAAGGCTCTTACCTTGATGTAGTCTCGGATTGTCAATAGGCGCTCATCTATAGTGAGAGAACTATCCGCACAGAGTTCAATGATCTTGTTATCGAAGTCTGCAGACTGTTTAGAGAGTTTACGCATTCACATGAAGCCGATTCCTACCTTCAGCATACTGAGCAATAGTGATGGAAAGTGGGATCCCATCCCTCATAGTCTCACAGTAGAGCTGGATTGACGCGATAGTATTAGCGAGTCAAAATACAGAGAACGCATCATTGTGCCATAGTACGTAAAAGTGACCTACCCTATAAATCGGTTCATACTCTTCAGTGAGGTGCGTGCCGTTCATTGCATCAGCCCATGACAGTCTGAGGAGAAGCACTACCATTAGTTCAATAATGCCCTTGACTGCAGCTGAGGCTCCATTGGCAGCATCCCCAAGCGCTTGGTCCAAGTCATCTGAAGCTGAGGCCAGTGCCTGCACAGCCGCGGTCGTGAATGCCTCCTTGTCTGTAGGTACGACCTGGTACTTGGCAGGCAGCTTGACCAGGGCCTCGCGCTCAGACTCAGACAACGAAGAGACGGCCATGAGACAGGCTGACACTGTATCTGGACTGGATCTCTGCTCATTCAATTTGTGGAGGACGCTAGTCGCAGAGTGGAGGACTGGAGAAGACATGGTTCGTATGGCTTCAGCTGGTTTGCACGGCAGGGTGTATGACCAATGATAGTGATTGGAAGAGAAATGCGAGCGGATCAAATCTTAGGTTAGGTTGTCTTCTCTCCGTTTCTGTGGTGGCTCTGACGTGCAAGGAAGGGGCTTAATATGTGGTGCGCGATTTTCATTTGTATGTCGCCCGACCTGGAATAACAACTTGACGACATCTCAACTACAGGAGAAGGACGTAATAACATCAGAATCAACTAGGATATAGGAATGCATTACCTTTTGGGGCTTCCGGCATAGGTTACGTGGTTAATGCAGTGGCAACACCGAATATGCGGCCTGGGACGGGAGGCCTGCATTTTCAGCTTGGATGCAGCTGCAGGGATTGACATGCAGCTAGTTTATGCAACCCTACTTGGAGCAAACCCCGACGTTGCAGCTCTGCGACCGTCAATCTGTGGCAAGATGCAGTGATCTATCATTCTAGATTTCTTATCGTGAATCATGCAGGAACCTGACACCTTCGGCAATTCCGATGATGTGTTTCGGGAAAATCAATGATTCTAGTCTCTTGAAGGGAGAATGTTGCAAAGTGACCAAGTGACAACGCCACTGCGGATTTGTATTTAAGGTCGGCATCAACACCGCCAGTGGGAAAGAAAAACAACAATCCTCAAGTCCAGTTTCCTTGCAAGAAAGTCCACTACTATCATTACACTCAACAATTGCTTCTCAATTGCATTCAGTCAATGACCATGTCTCCTCTTCCAGCCCCAGCCTATACAGCCGACAACTCCCCTCCAAGCTATGATGAGGTCGCCGAAAAGCTAGAGCGCCTCGTTGGCAGTAACCCAACTGTCGAGAAGGCCCTCGAGGCTGCTAGCTCCCTTTCGGAGGAGGAGATCTTCGTCCTTGCCAATGGCTACGAAGACCATCAGCCACTGCAGACGGACCAGCAAAAGGCCGACTTTACGGTCGGTGCAGGACTACACCTCTCGTCCGAGGAAGGTCAGAATGGGATGGCGCTGTCAGGAACAGCTGCGTCTCAAGCATCGGTGGATATAGACAGCCGTCTCATCGATATTCAGCAGAAGCTGGCCGTCATTGACCAAAAATATAACGAGGGCTTCGCGGATACCGTTGCCGGCATTCGCCAGGTAAAGTTAAAAGCCGGTGTTGCTGGCAGACTTTTTGGTGCTGACTAGTTGCACAGGATTACAATCAAGTTCTTCAGAATAGTCGAAACCTGGCGGCTGATATCTCTCAGAAGGGCAAAAGTGTGTAGCCATCTTTCAGGGTTATCTTTTCAGCTACTCCTCTCTGACCTTGGCATTAGGTTTCGACAAAGTCATCGTGAAATATTGTGCCGACAACACCATCTCCCTCGAGGACCGAAAGGCCAAAGCCAAAGCCTTCGTCTCGGTAATTTATGCGCCTCTGATTACTCTGGTTTCAACTATTCTAGTGAATAATCACTAACAGCCTATTGTAATCGCAGGATATCAACAAGCTTGGGGCGACCGCCGAAGACATCCAGGAAGAGTTCTCCGCCGTCAAGAACAACTTTTCCTCCTTCGTAGATACATACTCTACATGGGCCGAAGGCAAAGAAGGAGAATTGACACAACAAATTGCGGATCTTGAAAAGGAGATCCGCAGCCTAACAGAGGAACTGAATTCACTTGAGACGGCCCAAAAAGTAATGCTCGCGCTCGGAGGAGCAGCTATTCCAATTGCACAGGCGCTGGGGGCGATATTCGAGCCTGTCAAGCCGTTGATTCTTGTACGTGATAAAGTCCCACAACTAACACTACTCAACCCTAACAAGTTACCTTTTACTAAATCTTGGTTGGTGCAGATTGGAGGGCTCATCTTCGCTGGCGTGTCTTTTGCTGCCGCTGTGGGTCTGTACATTGCCGCTGGCGGTGAGTTTTTGTTACGCTTCCCTCTGAATAGATCTTGTATGCTAACTATACTCTGTAGTGGTGAAAAACAAAATCAATCAGAAGACCTATGAAAAAGAGGATCTCGAGAAGCTTCTCGAGACCATCCGAAGTGCGCGTCAGGACCTGCAGGGCATGCAACAGAGCGGGTTGCTGTCTTTCCAAGCCTGTCTGGATGTTCTTCCTCAGTACTGGAGCTCTACTGCTCAGAATGCACAGTCAATCTATGACTGGTTGGAAAAGGGCGGCGAGACAGTATGTACATGAGAGAAGAGCGAATTTCTCGCGTAGCAGTCATACTAATACCCTTATCCTAGGCCCGTCCCGTGTATATGAACCTGAATGTGGAGAAGGGCGTGGAGTCTTGTAAGTTTATTTTTCTCATGCTGAATGGAATTTTGCTAACCTTTGATAGACAATGCTACAGCCGCGTACCTCGACACGTATGCGCGCGGACTGTAGAGTCCAGCATGGAGGGAAATCTGGTCGAGTCCGCTTTGGACGCGTTTGTTTCTTTGTAGCTCTCGGAGCTTGACGTACTCTGTGGATTAGAATTGATATATTACGCCAATTGTTGCTACTGTGACTTTCAGGTGCAGGTAGAAGTAGTTTTCCAGACATGCTCAGAAGCTACAGGAACCGATTAAGCACTATCATGTCAGTTTTATTGAGAAATTCTCACATATGAGTTTTGATATCGCCAAACTGTATCCCATGTGCTACTATCCACCAATCGCTTGCTTCTATCTAGAAATAAGTAACAGCGAGCATGCACAAAACCACGTATATTCGCATATGAAGCCATTATTCAAGTTAAGGAGCATTTCCTCATCAAGATCTAGTAATTCTAACCGGCTACTTCCATCTCCCAATTGTTTTAATAACATCCGTTACCACCCAGACCCATCACTAAATTAAGACGATGGTATCAAACAGCATGTATCCCACCACTTTCTCGAATACCAACCCACCACCAATTGACTCCATCCTCCCCCGAGCGAAGCTTCTCTAGGGCATTTATTTGTCGTTTCACAACGGCCCCATTGATCTCGAACATTGTGATGCCCAGACCGTTCACCAGTGAAAATTTTGTATTTCAGTAATTTGCCAATCCGAACGCCATAAAGAACCACGTTCAACTCATCTGGCGAGACATTCTCAGTGTACTCGGCCACCGTAAACCCACTCATTCACCTTTCCAATTAGAAATTGGGCCCGATGTCTGAGGGACTTTGATTGTGAGTTTAACGTCTGTGGACTTGGGCAATATGCCCGTTTTCTATATCTTGTAGTATTAAATGTCATTTCAAGGATATTCAGGAAGAGGGGTGAACCCAGTGGCTGTCCAATCCGATGCTGGGCCTGAGGTCTGGGGAACCTTTACCGTGAATTTTATCTCGGTAAACCCGGGGATATTCACGTTCCCTATATTCTATAGCATTTATATCATTCCAAAGATATTCAGCGAGAGTAAAGCCGCTGACTGTCCAATCCTACGTTGGGCCTGACGTCTGGGGAACTTTTACCGTGAGTTTCATGTCCGTAAACTCCGGTAATATGACCTCCGTCTCACATATCTCTGTCGGCAGTAGATTGTCTTATATATATATATATATATATATAAAGGTCCGGATGGACGTGAGGATAATAGCTGAACCTATTTTTCCTTATTGTTTATTCTGGCCGGTAAGTGTTTCCTGTAAAGCCGGGAAAAACTATCTCGGTTCCCTTTATCTCCGTGGTCAGCAACTTGTCTTTGAGGGACTCTACATCCGGACGGATGTGGGCAATGATAGCAGATCCAATCCTCGTAATTGGAATATCGCTGGTACCTCCTGTAACCTTTTTATCTGCTCGTATTGGCGTCTCCATTCGAGCAAGGTTCCATATGTCTTTATATGATGGAGTTATCAACCTTGCCAAAGATATCGACTGCTCGGAACTTGACTAGAGAGATCCAGTAAATATCATTGGAAAAATAATCCACTCTTCGTCGTTATAGCAAGGTGCTATATGCCATACCATATCGATAATATACTCGTCGATGTTTCAAATTGTCGACGATCACATGACGATTCAACCTGTCCAGCTGCTTGACGTATTGCCGGTCCGACAATACATCTCCATTCGAAAGTTCAAAAGAAAACAATGGCGAACTCAGGCCCTGGAGATGTAACGAACCCTTTTTTTTTTAGGTTTGTTAGCTATATGCGATTCTCAGGCCCTGAGTATCATGAGTGAATTTGACAACGTATTCATCGACGTTGTCAAAAGTGTGCATCCCACTTCCATCTTTTCGTTCGATAATCCCATTCCACAATCAAACGCGGCGTCTGCTGACCATGTATTATTCTTACGTCTCCACCGTGGGAGATAAATAAGCTAATTTAGTTCGTTATATTGAATATCCACAGCATCAGCATGCTGAGCCAGGGCCCAGTGCAGCAGCACATGGCCTCTATTGGGCCATACGCGATGTACTGAATTCTCACGTCACCACTGCGAATGCGATACGCGTTGTATGGCTTGGAATATGGAAAGCCTTTTGATAGGCCCTATAAAACCCCAGTCAATCTGGCTATATTGTCAATTTGCTCAGGATCAACATCGCAACGGAATTTCACTATAAGAAGTCTTGGTTCCTTCATGTCCCGAGACATGAGCTTCCCTAAATAGTCAAAAACCCTCTTGGCTGGTTCATCGAGATAGGATGCATGTAAATGGGATGCATGTATAAACCATATGAAACGCCGCCACCGGTTGTGGTTGTGAATTCCACATCGATGTACTAAATACTATATATCATATGTTATACATTAGTAGTAGTTCACTACTACATACTAATGGTATATAGCAGAAGGGTGCCACATGAAGAGGCGAGTGCCCTGTAGGCAACTAACTGGCTTAGCAGGTGCAACATAGATTTCTTCTGCGTAAGATCATATCGTTAGCTGTGTATAGCTATGTTGCCGATCATTCTTGTTTTATATATATTATATAGGTGTCGCCTTGGTTGCGGGCTTGGACTGCGGTTGGTGATGCATTAGGCTATGTTAGATGTCGAAGCACTAACCGCTAGACCAAAATGATATATCGCGTCTAGCTGGCCAGGCGACGGAGAGATATGTGTCCCAACATTAGATAGAATTGCTTTAGACGGTGAGGCGTCTGCATGGTCAGTATTAGAGTAGTGGGCTTGAGTTGAACAACAAAAATGAATTGAGATTGGTAAGATATTGTACACGTCAAGGCAAGGATTCGTACTATGCTTCCCTGAACATATATCGGCACGGCCTCCCATCAGAACCCTCTTCTTCTTCTTCTTCTTCCTCCTCTTTCTTTCGTTCTTTCTTTCTTTTTCTTTTCTTTCTTTTTCTTTTCTTTTCTTCTTTCTTTTTCTTTTTTTTGGTTTTTCTTATTTTCTTTCTGGGTTTTTCCTCCATCTCTGAACTTCAGGAAACGACAAAATATTGGGTACAACGAGATCAAGTTGGCAGCAATCATGCCGGCATCACCCAGACGAGCAGAACGAAGTACATAGCCTGTGTGTGTAACTCCCGTTTGACGTTCGAAATTGCCTCCGCCGCAGAATTCTCAAGATAGGGAACTCGCTAATAAAGTTATCGAACAAAGGAAATGATAAAAGATAAAGATCGTAGTAAACTGCTGTGTCCACGTGCATGAAATGAGAGTAAAGACCCGTCATGAAGAAGTTGAAGCCGAAGCCTTCTTTATCGGGTAGAGGAATGTTGCGCGTTGGGCAGATATTTCTTTTTCCAGCTCCCAATTTTTTTTCTTGTCCTGTCTGTCGCCATGCAAAAGTTGCTGTTCTTATCTTTCCGTGTACTGCCGATATCATTAAGAGACACCGAATGGGGCATTCAGGATGTGCCGTAGCATTGGAAATGACATACGACGAAACAAATGTATATATAGTGGGTTCGTCATCGACATCATGATCATGACCCAGGGCTGACAGCTGGAAAACCACGCAAGTCAACCACAACCACTGGATTCATCATTGACCGTGTCCTAGAGTTGATATCCAATACTCGGAAGCCACCACTGTTGCCAGTCGGAGTCCAGACGGTCGTTCAGTCTTCCTGGTGGAAAGTCAGAATCAACCTTTGGAGACGCTAGACAAGATTTGTACCTCAACGGTCGGTTTGTAGACTTAAGAATTGAGACAGTATGCTCATTGGAACTCTTGCTGTTGTCACCCTAGTGTATCGATCAGCGACCGTGGACGCGAAGTGCATGTATCTGGGATAGCTTACTTGCTCTGCACCTTGAGAGGTCACCTTCTTCTCAGCGAGATTTATCTGACTGGGTTCGCTGCTGTGCCAGCCGAAGTATGCAGTCTTTGGCCTGAGATTGGTGTGGGTACTTGTCATGGGTAATTGTCAATGTTGAGTTCTGTCCGAGAGTCAGTATGGGAAGCACACCATCGTTTGAGACACTCGAATACTTACCAATGAGAGCAAGGCACGGAAAACTGAGATCGAAGCTGTCCAGACCGATGGAAAAAGGACATGCTTGACCAAACGAAGGACACAGATACGAAAGTAGAGTATGAAGTAGGAAAGTTAAAAGGAGTGTATGCTTTGTAAAGAAGCTGTTTTTTTCCTCCGTGTTTCCTCTGTGTTTCTTCTTTTCTTTTCCTTTCTTTTTTTTTTTTTTTTTTCTCTCTCAGTGCTTGATTGTATAGCTGATTTTCAAGCTGTTGGCAAATATCAAGCTGCAATGCGTGGCTTAGGGAATAGCGGAGTCATGTTTTTGAATATTTAAATGGTATAAAAAATGGTAACTAAGGCCTGGAGATGTAACGACCCTTTTTTTTTTTGTAGGTTTTGTGGCTGTATGGATTCTCAGACCCTGAGAATCGAAGGAGACTTGGAGCTTGTGCAGGACATGATTATGTTAGAGCTACCAAGATCAATGAGAGAGAGCAGGATGTAGATGAACTCGGAGTAGGGATGTATGCGATGTGGGCAGGTTGGAGATTAAGTAAAGGAAAACATATGGGAACTGAGGCCTGAAAATGTAGGGACCTTCTTTTTTTTTTTTTCTGGGTTTTGTAGCTTTATGCGATTCTTGAATCGAGAATCAGTTGAGATGGAACTTGATGTAGGAGGTGGGTAGATAGAAACCTAAAGGTCGATGAGACAGCATGATGCAGATGAGCTCGAAGTAGAATGTATGTAAAGTGGATAGGTAGGAAAGTAAACAATCGAAAGACCTCTGGGAGAGAGAGGAGGAAGAAGAAGAGGAAGAGAGGTGGGGAAGAAGGGGGTTCTTATAGTCGCCCCTGGGAGGGCCAATTCACTTCAAGCCAACACTGGAAGTGCTGAATCCCCTGAGGAAACAGAAGTAAATGAAAAAATACTCACTTCAACCCAACAGAATCGAGTGTTACTCACCCTAGGTATTGAATGTATTGAGGGAATCAAGACTGCATTGTGAAGCGGCCAATTGACGTACAGGCGGAAACTACTCACATTAACTGAGAGAATCTTCAATCTAGTGAGATTACTTTGAAAGTGAGGAAATGACATGTGGCTCTATATAGCAATGGTAGTCACACTGGCAACGAGCATTCAAGGTGCCGCAGCTATGAAGGTGTAAGACCAGGTTCGTAATAAAACAATTTTGAACGCTTCTTTGACTAGGGCCTGCTCCGTCTTCGCCTGTAGGTTTCTTCTCTTTTCCTTTTGATTTCGAATGTTCGCTTTCGGTACCTTCCTCGGCGCCCGCGGTTTCAGGGCCTAGTATATTCCAATCATATTAGTATATGCAGCATCAAAGACTGGGTATATTCAGCATACCCGCCAGTTCTTGGAATTCAACCATTGTGTCAGCTTGTCGAGTCACTGAGGAATCAACGACTGCCTTTCTGCAAGCGAAGTCAGCAACCTTGCCTGACATGTATGGGTCAGAAATCGTATCATCTCCGTAGAACTCACCGAGTCCGGTTAAGAAACCACCACCATATCAGAATAGGTATCTGGATTTCATGGCGAGAGTCGCTCCTTCCCTTGTGTCTTCCTGCCAACCCAGAGAGCACTCTAACATGATATCTTCGATTAGCAGGTCCAGGGATTTCGAACAACCATCACTGCGAAAGTTGCTTACTCTTTTACCACTGTCACTTCGATTATTGAGCACTCTTCTTACGATCATTACTTCAGTTATTGAGCACTCCGTTTACCATTATCATCGTTTATTGCTACGTGACTCTGTATTCTCTTCTCAAAGGAAAAAAAAAATAATAATAATAATAAACCATGCCTGCTATTCCTACTCGTGTTAGCCTATGCATGCTAGGACCATGGTGAGGTGCCATGGTCAGCTACGTCGTTGCTACATGCTTAACCGCCGTCCTCCTTGGTAGCGAGACTCGGGATGAAATCCATCACCAACTGACGTGATCAGTCGAGGTCTCAGCACTAGCATCAACGCCCGAAGTATACCATTCTTCTTGGACAGGGTGGAGTTTCTTTTGACTGTCAGTAGCGCTTGCCATAATATCCGCATCATCGGTCGGTGCGGGGGTGTCGCTGAAGCTATAGGCATCATCGAGGCTAGCGCGGACGTCCACAACAAGATCATTCTGAACCAGACTTCTAAAGTGCACTAGGATTTCCGGATGAATGCCTACCGGTTTCCGTTCACTCAGGCGGTCGTTGTCGAGGATATTACCATTGGCCACAACGATCAAGCAAGCCCGTGCCCTTGTGAGGGCGACGTTCGCTCGGCGATTGTCGGAGGCGAAGCCCAGATCGGACTTCGTCCCTGAATCCACAACCCAGTCCAATATGACCAAGTCCGCTTCATGGCCTTGCATTGAGTCGACAGTGTTTATTTGGACCAGGTCCTTCCAAGCGACATCCAGACTTTCCGACAACTTCGTCATGTGGCGGACGTACGCCTTTTTCTGGTCTGCATACGTAGTGATGATAGTGGAAGTCCTCCCTTCGAGTACACCACGAGTGACCAAAAACCGCACGAGCTCCATAACGACAGTAACATTGCCAAGGTTTGAACGCGAACGGGTTCTCTCATTTACCATAGTTTGCCCATTAGGGACATTTATTCCGATGAGTTCCAAACCCATTGCGAACTTGGCATTTGGCTGTTTAGACTGGATCCAATCAAGGAGCGCACCTGAAAACTCGGTACCAAGGGAAATTGAGTGGACGGTCGAGTCATTGGTCATCTTTCCAGAGTAGGTGAACTCGGACGGAAATCTTGACAGACGCGGATGCATACGGTGTTGCTCAGAAATTAGTTTAAAGGGAAATTGGGAACGACGAAGTCGATCAAAAAGCGATCTTCCCATCTGGTATCCAAATTCGTTGTACCCAGGGACCTCAGACGCTGTAATTGACAGAGGAGGGAGTTGCTGTCGGTCACCCCCTCTGATTGTTCCTATAACGAGGTTCGCCCTGTCCAAAGACACAAGGGGTATGAGCACGTCTGGCTCGAGAGCCTGTCCATCTTCGTCTGCGATGATAACAATTTTTTTCCCATTTGCACCAAGGTTTCTTCTGACGAGGGGTGTGCCGGCTAGATTGTGGGTGCAAGCTACGATGTCTGCGTCTTGGACCACAAGTTCACCGATAGCATCCCAGCACTTCTTAAAAGCGGTTTCTTTTGCTAGCCATTTTTCGTCCTCCTCTGGAGAAGAAGGGCCCGGGCGTCGATCCTTTGGCTTAGACAAATAATTGTTGACAACTTCATATGCATTCTGGATGTCATACTTAGCCAAAGCAGTAATCCCATCCGGAATCACGGTATCCCATTTGTTGGCTCCCCGCGCGATATTTATGGGCAGCGTTTCACCGGCGTTCAATTTCTCAGTACATCTCTTCTGGATGTAAGCCTGAAGAGTGTAATCAAGATTACCCACGCCTTTTTGGGATTGCAACTCCTTGAGAAATTGCGAGAGACCGATGAGAGCGTTCTGTTTCTCGGCATCATTGTGATTCTCGGGGTTGGATTTGCCCGCGCCTGCATCGGAATCCTGCGGACAGGCAGAAGTTCTGGACCGATTCTCAATTTCTCCACGACGGACACGCACGTAAGGTTCACTACGCAGTGCGGTGAGCTGATCCGTTAGGGCATCCACAGCAGCATTGCTAGCTCCCACAAGGAGGACGTTTAAACCACAGTCGTGAAGAAATATCGCCATGGCAGCGAGAACTGTGGTCTTGCCGCAACCTGGATAACCCTCCAAAAGGGAACAACCTGCCTTTGTCAGGCGAAGAGATCTGAAGGCTGCTTTCTGCTGGTGAGTCCAGGCTCTCAACTGAAGGAGACGACGCAGTGCTGAGTTGATCACGTTTTCTTCGATTCCCTCTAGGAGGTCCACAGTTTTCAAAGCGCTGTTTTCTTGGTTTAGGAGAAGGTCATGCCATCGGTGGACTCCACCTTCGCCAGACCGCAGCTTCTCTAGCGCATTAATTTGTCGTTTGATAGGGGCTTCGTTGATATCGAACTTCATGACTCCCCTGTAGTTGACAGTGGATTCTTCTTTTAGCAATTTGCCAATGCTTCCGCCGTAGAGAACAATGTCTAACTCATCAGGTGACGTATTCTCAGTGTACCCAGTGACCGTTAAGCCACTGACTTTCCACTCAACGGCGGGTCCTGCGACCTGGGGAACCTTGACAGTGAGTTTCACGTCTGTATATTCCGGTAACAGGACCACGGTTCCTCTTATTTCGGTTGGCAATAGGTTATCTTTGATTTGATTGGAATCCGGACGAACGTGGGCCATAATGGCAGATCCAACCCTCATGATTCGAATACCGCATGGAACCTCCTGTAACCTTTTGACTTGTTCGTATTGACGCCGCCACTCGATTGTTGTTCCATATGCGAATTTGACCACGTATTCGTCGATGTCATGGAAAAAGTCCGTTGGTCTAAACTTCACAAGAGAGGATCCGTAATCTTGTTTTACCAACAGCCTAGGCACTTGTTGGCCAAATATGATTCTGGGCTCACCACTGTGGCCGCGATACGGGTGGAACGCCTTGGAATTGGGGAGATATCTCGATAGATCATTCAAGGCATCAAGAAAAGAGGCTATATGGTCCATCTTCGCGGGATCTAGATCGACCCGGAACTTCACTGTTCTCGGTTCCCGGTTGTTGCGAGATGTCAGAAGCTGTAGATGCTCGAACACTCTCTTGGCTGGTTCATTGAGACGCGAAACATTCTCATGGTATACACCATAGGACACGCCGCCAATGGTGGTGAACTCCACGTCAATATAGCATGGATGTTCATACTCGACTCCGGACTGTCCTTCCGTTGCCTTGACTGTGAAATGTTTCTTGAAGGCAAAGTCCTGGACACATCGAGGCTGCTTCCCATCGATATGCAATGAGAATTCCAGTCGTGCAGAGTGAACCACGTTTTCTGGATGCAACTCGTGCTTGACTATCGAGATTTCCTCCGTCGCAAATATCTCGAACGAGAGCTTTGATGCAATGTTCCGATCGATGATCCTGAAGCAGACCGCCGTATCCCCATGTGAGAAAGAAGATTTCTCTGGCAGGAATCCGCCATCGGGAAGACAAAAACGAATCCACCTTTCTCTTGGGCCCTTGAAATAAAGCGCTTCTGCGGAGCTGCCCCTGGCCATTGCAATTAGAATGTTCTGAGATTTATCATGGTCATATTTCTTAATGCGAAGACCTTCGTTTTCCATTGTCTGTGTACCATCCAAAAAGTATGAGTACTGCGCTTCTCAAATCGGCAAACTTGGTCGTGCCTAAGCGACGGGAATGACTTACCGAGAAAGCGCCGCTTCCAATATTTTCGCTGCTTTCATCAGGTTTCCAGAATTCTTTGATCTTGTCCTAAACCCAGAGTTAGTATTGAGCTATAGAAATGGTCCGAAGCCTTATCTTACTGACCTCCTCTACAGCCAGTTTCGCTCCCTGCGGACTTGCTTTGGGCTCGTCGAAGTTCTCCACATCGTCAACCTAGTAGACCAGATCAGGGATTGCCCGCATACCATGAGGAATGTCTGGCCTAGTTTACCTGTTGTGCATCTTTGGCAAACATATCTTTCTCGGGAGCTTCCATTTGATCGGCATCTTTGGCAGATTCGCCTTCCTCGGTGACTCTCATGTGATCGGTTTCATTACCGTGCAGAATAAAATCTAGAGCCATTGGGCTGAGCTTTCTTCCGGGGCCCGCCATCGTTTGATTCTGCCTTGGAGAGTTATTATGGTCGTTGTACTGCTGGTTTCGATGCTGGAATGCTTACCTGGTTCGTGATGAGAACTGTGTACAAAAAGTAGTCACGAAGGAGGTGAAAGTTCCAAGCACAGTGGGTACTCGGAGAGATCAGAAAAACGTGAGTATGTTAAATACAATGAAATAAATGGGAACTAAGGCCTGGAGATGTAACGACCCTTGTTTTTTTGGTGGGTTTTGTAGCTGTATGGATTCTCAGACCCTGAGAATCAGTTTTGTTAAGAGGATTGAGGCTTTAGGAAATGAATCAGATGGGAGATCGGGAGTAAATAATCGAAATACCTCTGGGAGAGAGAAGAGGAAGAAGGGGGTTTTTATAGTCGCTCCTGGGTGGGCCAATTCACTTCAAGCCAACACTCAAAAGGAATTAAATGAAAACTTACTCACTTCAGCTCAACAAAATCTGGTGTTACTCACTGTAGGTATTGAATGTATTGAGGGAATCAAGACTGCAATGTGAAGCGGTCAATTGAATCTAATCTTTATCAACATCACTTCATAGCTGCGGCACCTTGAATACTCGTTGCCAATGTGCCTACCATTGCGGTATACAGCAACATGTCATTTCCTCGCTTTCAAAGTATCTTAAGTGGATTAAAAATGTTTCTCTCAGGTAATGTGAGTAGATTCGGCCTGTACATCATATTATGGACGGGCTAGTGAGCTACAGATGAGTCTAACGGGACACGATCCTGATTAGTGTAATCATGACCTATACACACATACACACACTCATTCTTCTCTCCGAATTTTATCTCACGGATTTTCTTCCTAGAATTTTTTAGTCATATCGCTACCCTTCCTTCACCGGAACTCGACTACTACCTCTAAACATGAAGCTCAGCAAGTCTATACCGGATTTCATGCGACACACGCTGGTCAAAGCCAGCAGTACTATCTTCGAGCCCGTGGAGGCAATCCTCGAGAAATCAGGGAAAACACAAAAGGCCCAGAAATTGCGCAAACTACAGCACCGATGTATTGGTCTTTCTGAGGACCAGTGGCAATATATCAATGATTACTTCGTGACTGAAGAAGTCCTACATTTTGCATTACAAGCAAGGGAAAAAGAATTGCAGAATAATAAAAAAATAAAGAGCGAACAACCTGCAAGTGACGACCTCAACGAGTTCAACAACTACAAAGAAAAACTGAGGAAATCTGAGCGGAAACTGGAAGCACTCAACAACGATGTACGCTCCACCGAAGGGGTCATGAAGCTCCTAGAATGGAAAATGGGACACACTCCACTGTACCGCGCTATGAGTTTCCAGCGATGCGATTCAAAATGGTATCTCAGGGACACATGGCTTCGGAAAAGTGTGCTAAGGAGGGGGTGTTGTGGCCGGTCTTGTGGTTGCTGTGAGAAGCCACGATGCACGAGGAGCGACCGAGAAGTCCTTGGCCACTGTACACCGATGTGTGAATGTTGTGATGGCTATAGGGGTAGGATCATTACAGTTCACACTGATGATTTTGTGACTCTGGGCCAAGTTGATTTGATTCCGAGGGAGGCGAAAAGGTACGCGCATTCGAAGGCTGTCTATGAGGGGCGGATCGAATTCGATCCAAGGAAGGAAAGAACGGATAAGATTAGTGCACGTCTTATGAATGCCTATGTTTGGGGGCTGGATGGGAGAAGAGGATGAAAAGCCTCAAGCTGGCTTACCAAGTGTAACCGAACTTACGGTTAGTTAGTTAATTGCGGATGATGACCGTGCAGCAAGCTAAATGGTATGAGAACTTGTTTGCCTTCCGGTGAACAATGTCCTGGCTAAAGGATTGAGGAAGAGAGAAAAACTACTATTTAAGAGGGACACGACAGAATGCGTGTATTTGTCGCTATTTGTTCCTCATAATATTGTTAGGTCCTGTGGTTATACACAGTGTGCTACTGTCTCCATGCGTAGTGAATTTCGTGTAGAGAAGACACTCGAGGGAAGACGCATGACAGGATTTGAGGCATCGCCTCGAACAGGAGTAGAAGGCGTTCGGAAAAGTACATGGATTCAAAGAAGAGGAAAAAAAGTAAACTTGTGGAACGTCAATTTAGCAGGTGTTGGTTGATGCTAGCAACTATCTAAGTATGTAGAGGAAACAGCCTAGGAACAAGGTGTAGGAGACGCGTCCTTTCTTCCCATTCGGGAAGGTGCGGGCTTTGTCCGTAGCAGGAGATATAAGCCGATCTATGTAGTCTCTAGAAGATATATGCAATCACACAGCTCGAAGGCTGGTAATCAATAGTCAAGAGCTCCATGGAAATAACATACTCAGGTGAGACGAATTAGAGAAGTCAGATCAACCACGCACGCACCTGATGGAAAACTCAGATGAGTGCTCCTTTTACTGAGCAACGTACAATAGTGCATTACGTTTTCCGTCTCTTTTCTCGAGCCATTGGCTTGTACTACAGGAATCAAGTTACTTATCATATTTTGATGTAGTATGCTATTGCTTTGTGATGGGGAAATGATCTGCGGAACTATATAAAAGCGGGAGACGGATAGCCATTACATCGAACCCTACGTTCAACATTGTAGAGGGTAATAGGAGAACGGAATACGAGTCCAGCTAAATGCACTGATTTTGGTTAACTTATATAAGCCATGAATAGCTGACTACAGACTACTAGAGCAACCTTGACGTCAAATGTTACAATTTCTAAGTAGAACTCAACAGATGAAATAGGACCGAGATCTTTTGATACACAGAGAAACGAGAACTCAATTATGGACTCATGAAGGAAAGGCGCTATGTATCATTAAAGGGCGGTGCAGGAATCAAGGACGAAGAAGTAGACGGAATATCACAAACAAAGAGAAATGACAACGCTTACATAACGAGCAGTGCTGAATGCTGAAAGTCTCAATTCAAATGGTAGAACAAAAGGAAGATGCAGCAGGAAGGCTAGACTCCAACACCGTACAAGAAGCAAAGATCAAACATAGAAAAAAGTAGACAACTCACAAAGAAGGGAGGTACTAAAATAAAAGCAAGTCACAAGAAGGTGAAATGGAGAACATAGTGGAACACAAAAAACAACTCTAGAACATCTCTAGAACATCAGGGACCGCGTCTTCTGCCGGCGAGCATCCAGACCGCGAACTTCTGGCTGTGACTGGGTGTGCTTGTGGCCAGGACGACCCACGGGTGGCGCCCGCGCCGATGGTGTCGTTGGAACAGGGATGGCACTGTCTTTGGCGGGTGGCGGAGGAGCTGCGGTGCTTGTCCGCTTCACCTTCATGCTTCGCTCCCGCTTGAGAACCATCTCCGTCCAGGCCTTGACTTGGCTGCTGCCAGAAGATCCCTTGCCGACGGCATCCGCCAGCACCTTCATCCATCCATCTTTGTCGGCCGCGCTGTCGGCGTAGAAATCAATCACTTCACCGTTGCCAAAGCGGATGCGGAATCCCTCTTCAACAAACATGTAGCCCTCCTCTTCTTCGGCAAAGGCTGACTTGCGACGGCCACCCCCTCGCGTTGTAGTCTCCTTCTGAGTCAAAGAAGACCGGTCATCAATAAGCTTGACTGCTTTAGAAAGGTTGATGGTTGCGCGAGGTTGGCGGGTAGTCTCATGGTATGCGGTCAGCTTGGACCCTTGGAGCTTGAAGAAGCGACGACGCCAGAACTATGAAATGAATTAGCGTTGATCGACAAACATTCAGGCTTGCATGTACTTACTGGACAATCACCACCTTGCTGAGAAAGGAACCCTTCCCAACTGCGGGAGGATACACTTTCGGCTTCACGCATCTCCCGGATGCATGCGTTCATGCTCTTGGGCATGTCGTCGTCCTTGGCGCCCTTGGGCTTCGGCACAAATAGAAGCTGCAGCTCGAGCTTGCCAATCTTGTAGGGGGGGCGTCTCTGGGAAGTAGTACTATTGGTACTCTTCTTGCTCTTTACACTGCTGGGCTGCTCTTCAACAGCCCACTCGTTGAAGCATGCCACGTCCACTGTGTAAGGCCGGCCAAAGGCGTGCTTTTCGTGGTCACTGAGGGACACGTAGGCGCGTGCGAAGCTTCCATCGCGAGCAATGAGCGTTCTCAGCCTGTCCCATACGGGAGCGTTGACGTCGCGAGTCTTATTCTGTTGCGACGCCAGCTGTTGCTTCATGTCAAGCTCCTTGCGCTTCCGGGGTGAAGCAAAGACCCGACTGAAGGTGGAGGCTTTCTGCTTTGTGGGTGAAACTGGTGGAGCAGGCTCTGGAACACGCATCTTCTCCTCGTCCACCTTCATCTGGAGGGTCAGTTGGAATTCGAGATCATTCTGCACGATGAGCTCAAACTCCTGACCGATGGGAGCGGTCTTGCCCAGTTCCAGCCAGGCAGTGGTAACACAATGAAGGCCATTGTCCAGGGTCAAGGCAAAGTACGATCTCTCACCTGAGGTGACTGTCAGCTGACGTTTCGAAATATAGTCGAGCAGAAGTAATGCACTTACCTCGTGGCAGCGGCAGATCGAGATATTTCATTCCGACTACCTTGACGAAGAGGCGACCACGTTCTTCGCCCTCCTCCAGAGCACCATTCAACGCAGGTTCGGTCTCCTCAATGGTCGCCGGGGGCTCCTGAACGCTGCTCTGCTGGCCTGGAAGTGGTGGGACTGGTCCGCTGACGGGCTTCTTTCGGACCATGCCGCTGGAAGTCCTCATACTCGCTCGGCGAGTCTGTCCGTTCCACGGCACCGTAGTCCATGTTTGCTGACTAGGCTTGCGCGCCGTTGGTGCGGCCCGGGCCGCTGCAGGAGCGTCACCTCCAGCTGCCGCTTCATCCTCATTGCGGCTACTGGCGATGATAACCTTCGTGTTATGTCGCATGAGGTAACCTCTCTGTTTTAAGACATGGTGGTCAGTTGATGGTCTAAGTTTCAAGCTATGGGCTTTTGATCCTTGGTGTGGGCCGTCATGAAGACGAGGGATAAACGCGGTGCTTCTGAGTAGGGACAGGGATTGTTCAAACTCCACCTTTTGCGACTCGATCACTCGATCGAACTCCTTATCCAAGCCGAATCCGAGGCTCTCCTCTTCCTGGATGCTGAATGGGATATCCAGTTTCATGAGACTGGGTTGTCTCCGACTCGGTTCCTTGGCGGTCTCTGTTTGTGTATCCTCCTCGTGTTCCTCCTCCGGTGCAGAGGCCTGCGAGTCGTTCGAGTTTTGCTTGGTAAGCTGGGGCATGGGCGGAGGTGGTTGTCCGCTAACCTTGCGGCGCGTCGCAGCCATCTGCTCAACGTCCGCAGGGGTGAGGGATGGACGGGTCTTTAGACCAGTTCCAGGGGCCTTGATGGTGGCAACTGGTTCTGGCACACTCTCATCAGCAGATACCTCCTCGTCGCTGAACTCTTCATCAATAGGGTGTCGTATAACGGACTCAGGGGTCGAAGGTTCTGAGATTTGATCCTGGTTGTCCGGTGTTGAGGGCCGCTGCAGCGCTTCCCTCATGGCTGCCATCTTTGGAGCCGACAGTTCCTTGGGTTGGGGTTCTGGCTCTGGTTCTGCGTGCGATTGCTCGGCAGCAGGCTCCTCTCGTACTTCAGGAACAGGTGTGGATTGTCTGTCTTCAGACTCTTGTGACTCGCTCTGCGGCGCCCTGACTTCGTCCTCTTGAGGCAAGCTGGGCTGATCGCCCTCCTCGTTAGAAGGCAAATGGTCTTTCAGGCTTTTTGAGGAAGAAGCTTGAGACTGAACAGTTTCATAATACTCCGGAATGTCATAAAGATCGTCATCGTGCTCTTCGGGCTTTATCACCACGCTGCTCTGGTCATCATCGTCGTCATCGTGGTATTCGTCATCATTGTCCTCCAGGGATGGGATGGGGACGTCAGGGTCGTAATGCATATAGTGGTGGGGGCTTGATTCAATCTGCGAATCCTCCTCGAAGGAGTCGTCGACATAGCTTTCACTCTTACGAATGTCTCGCAGAATGGAATCCCGGGAGATGCGGGGAGGAGAGAACACCTCCGTAGCCTCTTCATCGTGATCTTTGGCAGCCTCCTCTGGGTTTGAAATCTTGTCATCGTCCTCGAAGTCGCTAATCAGGTCGTGTTCAGTCTCTGTGTCTGGCTTGGGCGCCTGCTGATCCGCTTGGTCTGAGTCTTTGCTCTTCCGTTCGTTTTCCTGGATCATCATGAGACGTAGCCTATCTTCCAGAGACATGGATGCACGAGCACGTTCAGTGATATCCGACTTGCTGTACGTGGCGGGGCCAGGAGGAGACGGCAACACTCGCTGACCTCCACTTGCCAGCTCAAAGGCTGCAAACAGCTTTTGTGGAGACGAGCCGCGCTGGCTAAAGGACGGGCGATTGGTTGGAGGAAGCGGGGGCAAGGGACGGCGTTCGCCATTGGAGTCCAGCGACTCGACGCGAGCATGTTGGACAGGCGGACCTTGCTGGGTGGATGGCCGCGGGTCGGGGCTGTGGTTTTCCTCGTCTTCCGTAAAAGGATCTTCTTCGTCTCTCACCAGATCGTCGTTTGCGCTGGCAGGACTCATGTATCGCCAGTCTTCGGGCAGGACAACCGGGGTCTTCTCGAGGTCTTCCAAGGAGGCATCGAAACTGTCATCACGGTCGAGGGAGGATTCGCGATCGAAACTGATATCCCCTTCATCCTCTTCTGAATCATAGCTGCCTTCACGGGAGCCAGAAGCGATGGAGGACGGATCAGGCGTGGTCATTTCGTACTCGTGCACCTGGGGCTGAGCAGCATCGAACGTCACGCTTTTGGCATGTCGACTTCCATCAATGTCAGACCAAATCTCACTTTCGGGGTCAAATGCGTCTCTGAACCCGAAGCGACTGGCTCGCGACAGGGAAGACTTCGCTGGGGGGACTTGGTCCTTGCTCGGAGAAGGGGGGCGGGGCCCGCTCGGATTACTATCGTGGGACTCTTCCTGTCGCGCAGGGGGCGCATTTGAGGCCTGCTTCTGTGGCGAGCGACTAGTGGCCAAGGGCCTCTGTGGAACATAGACATTGGTCGGATCGTACTCCTGGTTGTAATCGCGGAACATGTTGCTGTTTTTGACCCTCGAGGCGCGCTTGAGATTCTCAAGGGAGGGGCGCTTGGATGGAGAGAACGAGGCGTCGGGGTCATAAGGGCTCTGGTTCTCCGAGCTCTTGGGAAAGGGAGAGCCCGACTCACGGCCCTGCCAGAAAAGACGCGGTGATGCGGGTGCTTCATACGCTGATGCTTCTTGGGACTTCATCTGGAGCGACATGGTCAGGTCCAGATGTCGGAGGATTAACAACAACACGTGGAGCGACCTACTTTGGTACTCTGATTCCAACTTGGGGAGTTTCGTCGTTGAGCCACCGGGCTTACTTCGGACAGCGGCCTTTGCGTGGTACTGCTGCCCATCTTGGTGAGAAATGCACGACAACAACTGGTGATTCAAAAGAGGCAAAAATAGCCAGTCAACAAGCGCGCCTGGAAGAAAACACAGCTGCAGGCAGCTGAATCAGCAATGGCTTCTTTCGTCACAACGCAGCAATGCAAGGTCTCTGCAATCATAGCTATCCCTTGCCGGACTGGAACGCGCCCATACCTGGTTGAGACGAATGGAGGCGAAAAAGGTGGATGAGTCAATCGCAACAAAGTCGTTAGAAATAGTCCGAAACGAACCAGCGCAAATGAAGAACAGAACGCGGACAATAATTGAGTCGCTTGGATTAAAATTCACTCGGACGTTAAGCAGCAGCTCATGGGAATCGTAACAAGATGGGGAAGATGAGATGCGTCACAAATTGGCGATCATGCGTAAGAGAGCCGATTCGTCAGGTTCTTTCTTTACTTTTGATAAGAAACTACTGCGAAAAAAAAAAAAATTGGTCCGACAAACGAAGGGATGCTGATCGTAGGCAGAACAGGGCAACCGAGATGGTGAAATTGGGCGATGTGCAACAATGACGGCACGCTGGACAGGATAGACAATTGCAAGGGAAGAAGACAACCAACACACCATCCACCACCGGACCAACGAGGATGAAGTAAAAACAAGAAGACGGGGGGGGGGGACACTGAGAGTGAAGGTGACGGGAGAAGGAATAAACAGAAACACCCGAACAAACAGTGTTGACAAGTTGACTAATAAGTAGTTGGAAGCCGTTCGCAAACCGGCTGAAGCTGGGAATCGCAGCTTGACGCTGTTGACATTTTGGCGTCGGGAGTCTCCATGGCAACTTCACACCTGAGACTGCCTGAACCTGGCCTGAACTTGGCCTGAGCGCCTGTCTGGCCAGCCTCGACACCTCGACACCTCGTCGCCTGGCGGTTTCCCCGATCCCACCAGTCTGATTTGGGATTAGCGGGGGATCGTTCCTGTGGCCCGAGCGCCTTCCCCTTACGGACTGGCACGGGACCGGCTGCTGATTCTTTTTGGATTGGAGCTCCGGGAGGCAAAAGATAAAACTAGTGGTAGAAGATTCTTGACGAGCGTTCATCACTCTCTCTCATCCACCCCCCATCCTCACCATGAATCGCCTGGGCAGACTGTCTCTGCCGCTTCGGCCTCAAGTCTGTCTGCTCTGTCAGACGCAGGCGACCATGTCCTCTCCTCTCGCCGGATGGCAGGCCGTCCGCTCCATGGCAACCGTCCGACAGCGCCGCCAGGCCGCCCGCATGGTTCTGTCCTCCAATGTCGACAAGTCTTCCCTGAAGGAGGGACGTTCGAGAAGAGATCGTGGCGGCCCGTGGTCGGGCATGAACCAAACGGAAGCGCGCCTTCGGGATGCGCCACGGTCAAGGTCTCGGGCAGCTCTCAAGCGCTCCGGGGATGCTGAAGATGATAAGCAGAAGCCGGACAGTCCTCTTTACAAGGCGCTCAAGATGCAAACAGCATTGGCGCCTATCCCTTACGGTCGCCGGACCGCTATCAAGAATAAGATCGCAGAAGTCTCGAGTTTCGACCAATTTCCTCTGCTACCAGTCGTGCGCCACTCCATCTCTTCCCAGGCTCTCCCCGGACTGGCGGACATTGTACCAACTCCCATTCAACGCCTTGCTATCCCACAACTCCTGAAAGACCCTATCCCGAAGAGAACATCGAAAGATGTTTTCAACGATGAACCCAATTATGAACAATATCTTCTGGCTGCCGAGACCGGGTCTGGAAAGACTCTCGCCTATCTCATTCCCATGATCGACTCCCTGAAGCGTATGGAAGCGGAGGACAAGGAATTTGAAAAGCGGGAGGCGGAACAAAAGGCCAAGGAACGGGAGGAGAAGCTCAAGAACCGGGCTTTCGACATTGCCCCGGAAGAGCCTCCGTTGTCGGACGCAGGTAGACCCCGGGTCATCATCCTCGTCCCGACATCCGAGCTGGTTGCCCAGGTTGGCGCCAAAGTCAAGGCTCTTTCGCACACGGTCAAATACCGGTCGGGGATGATCTCGTCCAACCTGACCCCACGTCGTATCAAGAGCATCCTCTTCAACCCGAGCGGAATCGACGTCCTCGTCGCCACTCCCCACCTGCTTGCCTCGATCGCCAAGACAGATCCATATGTGCTGAGTCGCGTTAGCCACCTGGTGCTGGATGAGGCAGATTCGCTCATGGACCGTTCCTTCTTGCCCACAACGACCGAGATCATCGAAAAGTCGGCCTCTTCTCTTCACAAGCTCATCCTCTGCTCCGCAACCATTCCCCGCAGTCTCGACAATCTCCTCCGTAAGCGCTACCCCGACATTCGCCGACTGACGACACCAAACCTGCATGCCATCCCCCGTCGTGTCCAGCTGGGAGTGGTAGACATCCAACGGGACCCCTACCGTGGCAACCGCAACCTGGCCTGCGCCGACGTGATCTGGTCCATTGGAAAGGCAGGCGACACCGAACCGACGCACCCCTTCCTGGCCCAGGCCGGGCCCAAGGTCAAGAAAATTCTGGTCTTCGTCAACGAGCGCGAAGAAGCCGACGAGGTAGCCCAGTTCCTGCGCTCAAAGGGTATCGACGCCCAGTCCTTCTCCCGCGACTCCAGCAGCCGCAAGCAAGAGGAACTGCTGGAAGAGTTCACCGAGTCCCCGATCCCTCCCACCGCAGAGGAGATTATGCTAGCCAAGAACAAGCGCCGCCAGGACAACTCCATCCCCTTCGTTTACCCCGAACAGCAGAACAAGCCGGGCATGGAGCGCGGCCTGCCGAACACCAAGGTTCTCGTGACGACAGACATTGCCTCTCGCGGAATTGACACCATCGCCGTGAAGACGGTTATCCTCTACCACGTCCCGCACAACACGATCGACTTCATCCACCGTCTCGGCCGTCTCGGCCGCATGGGCAAGCGTGGTCGTGCCGTGGTCCTGGTCGGCAAGAAGGACCGCAAGGACGTGGTCAAGGAAGTGCGCGAGGGCATGTTCCGCGGCCAGGCCTTGATTTAGGGGCAGCAACGACACCAACGACAAGCATAATCTGTACTATTATTCAACTACGGCCCAGTCAACTTACAACTGACGGAGCCTCTGACGACGGCGTTCGGAAAACGGCAACCAGGAAAGATAATATTTAGACGACATGCATTGTATGTATGCATTGACTTGAAGCATCACCCAGGATATACACGGCTGTACCTCATGTATTATAATTTGTATATTTCCCCACCACATCTCTCTACTTAGAATCCTCTTCGTCACCACACCTGTACACTATAAACAACACCCATCCATCATCTGAATAGACAACTACAAGATACTACTTACTACCAGTAGTAAATAAAAATGAATAAAAAAAAAAAAATCAAATAGGAATCTTCCCCCCAACCGACTTCCAAAACGCACACCGATCCTTCAACTCCGTCAACCCCACATTCTCAAATCCCTCCGTAGCAATCACAAACTCCTCCCCCGACTCCTGTACCTCCGGCACGCCGGGCTCCGACGCATTCGTCAATTTATGTGCGTTGGGGTCCCCCGTCTGGAAAAAGCTGGCGAATGCGCCCGCGTAGCCGTCGTAGATTAACGGGTCGGTTTGTTGTACGCTTGAAACGGTGTCCCACTAGTCACAGTCACAGGATTAGTATCATCATCATCTCCATAGACAGCATATACTACATAAATAGAAGTAAAAGTAAAAGGGATGATAACAACATACCCACTCCGTATCACTCCCATGTCTCGCTGGCGGAATCACATATTCCCCGACATACCCCTTCTCCTTCGCCGCAGAAGCAACCCAATACGCCGGGCACGCGAGGACCACGTCTCTGTACACCAGCCCTGCGCGTACGAACGTCGTATTATAGGATAATGTCTCTGCTGTACCTGAAACAGGGTAATATTTCGATGAGATGAGGTCGATATCGTTTGTATCAAGACCGGGGAGGAACCCGGTTAACCAGGTATGGAAGGACGCGAGAGAGGAGTTGAATCCGTTTGTGGTGTCTGTGTCTTCTAGGCCTGGGGGGATGAAGTTCTCGCCTTCGTGGGCGTTGTACATGCCCCAGATGAGGTCTGTATCTAGGGAGTTGGAAGAGATAGTGGAAGTGAGGGGTTCGATGAGGAAGGTTCCGTCGATGACGGGGGCCCAGGTGTAGGATGAGGTGGTGTAAGTGTTGTCTGCGTCGATGATGAGGCTTGCGTCGCGGATGGATTGGACGTCTACCTCTTTCAGGCATTTGAGGGTGTCGGAGGCGGTGGTGCAGTTCGTCAGGTTGACAAGCTGAGCGTAGATGGCTTCTGCTTCTGGGGCGTTGTAGGCGTAGGTTTTTGGCCAAAAGGGCGAGCTGGCGAGGGCTTTGGAGAAGAGTTTGGGGTTTGAGCCGCGGCCGTTGGCGAGGATTTGGGCGACGACGGAGCCTCCGCCGGCGGATTGGCCCCAGATGGAGACGTTGTTGGGGTTGCCGCCGAAGTGGTGGATGTGGGAGTTGACCCATTTCAGGGCGTATTGTTGGTCGAGGAGGCCAGGGTTGAGGTCGGAGGTGGGCGAGTCTTTGATGGCTTGGCCGGGGAGGAAGCCGAAGGCGTTGACGCGGTAGTTGGTGTAGATGACGATGTAGTCGTTTAGAGTGCTGACGTTGAGGACGGGGTAGGCGTTGGGGGGCATGCCGAAGAGGGCGCCGCCTTCGATGAAGCCGCCGCCGTAGAAGACGACGAGGACGGGGCGGTTGGTGGTGGTGGAGGTGGTGTCCCAGGGTCGGGAGTAGAGGCCTAGGTAGAGGCAGTCTTCGGAGCCGTTGACGGTGCGTTGAGGGCACATGTCGAAGGATTGGTCGGTGTCGTAGGTGCCATTGGTAGTGATGTTTAGCGGGGGCTGGGGAGCTCGAAAGCGGTTCTCGCCTGTGGCTGGTGCTGCAAAGGGGATTTTGCGAAAGTAGGAGAGATTGTAGGTGGCATCATAGCTGCCCTGGAAGCTGCCATAGTCTAGAGTGACGAGGGGGGCGTCGTAGGCGCTGGTGAGGGAGCGTGTTAGCAGGAAGCATAGGGCTAGCAGGAGGCGGGGAAAGGCCATGGCTGCAGGTGGTGGTTGTATCCCTGGTGGACCTGGCTGGGGAGAGCTGCGCCGAGAGCAGCAGCATTTTATAGGGTATCATGGTTGCGATGGTAGAGTGAGGTCGGTATGAAGCAGACCGAAGTTCATTAAGAGTCAATATCGGAGTTCCTGGAATACCTGCACGAGCATATCATGGGGACAAGAGATTCAAGGGGACCCAAGCGCCGACAGGGCTGCCATTGGTGCAATTATTCTCCTCCACGATGCAGCATGACGGAGATGCGGAGATGCGGCACCAGCAATTTGCGCGGGGAAGGATGAGGAGGAGAAGATTCTTCAAGCAATGTCCGTCAGCCGACGGGTAAAAATAAGTTAATTCCAAGACCCCGGGTTGGGGATAAAGTCGTGTAAGTACAGAAGTGTACCAAGGGCCGGGAAACGAGCAGTAATCTATACAGGGTAACCGAATGCGGAATCATTAGACTGGACAAAGCCAAAGCCAGACCAGATGAATGGGAAGCAAGATCTTTAAAACGTCTCAAAAAGCCTTTCAATATCGCCGGGCTCATGGCAACGCTCGTGCCCATCGTGATAAAAACGCCTATTCTTCCAAACCGGACTCCACCGGACTCCAATAAAACCAAACTCCAGGATTAGTACTCCCAAAATCGATCCATATCCATCATTACATAGTCATACGAAGGGACCGGGTACGTCGTCGGCTGGCGCGCGTGTTGCGTCGGTCCTCGCCGGCTTCACTGTCCTCGGTCTCTGCATGAGGCTCGGACAGTTCGGGCGTCGGGGTTATTCCAAAACTGACACCGCGGTCCTTGCGCGAAATGAGCGCTTCTTCCTCTGGGTACAAGAATCGGTGCACAGTGCGGTGGTCCATCACACGTTCCTCGTCATCCCCAGGGCCCTCTCTGTCGGTTTTTGGCCACTGGAATCCATACAGCTTGGAGTGCCGTTCGCACCGGGGACACTCACGTCGCGTCAGGTAGGAATCTTGCTGAACAAACCAGGCGTTGCATGTGCGGCAATCCACCCAGCGGTCGTACGCTTGTGCTAGAAGTTTCGAGGTTTTGGTGTAGTCGCCAGGAACCCGAGCACGGGGCTGCTCAAACTCGACTGAGGGAACCACTTCCTTGCTGCAGGATTTTCGGGACTTTTTCACCACGGTACCGAGCTTCTCGTCGAGTTCGAGTGAGTCTGACAAGTCCGACAATGCATCGTTGTCTACACCCAGCATACGTCGTTCTGGCTCGGCTGGACCAGTGGGAAGATCAAGGCGTCTCTCGACAGTCAAAATTGGTGCCTGCACGGTAGTCTCGGTAGTTTCCTCGACCTTGATTTGCACCGGGTTGTCACAAACGGACGTCGCGGCTGTTGAAGTTGACGAGCGGTGCGAATCGTCCAGTGAACCGGGTGAATCAGGATCGGCGGTGGTAGTGGTGGTGCTTTGCGCGGTCGATTCGGCATGGATGTCACTCTTGTTGTCGATGACGTGGTCACTGGCGGTTTCGGCGGCGGCAGCGTGTGGCACGGATAAAGCTTGGGAGGAAAGCTCGGTGCCCGCTGGCTGGACCGTGCAAGACTCGATCGAGGGTGTGAGATCGGAAAACACCACCTCGGATCTCAACTTGGAGCTCTGGCGAGTAAACTTGGTTCGTTTGCGGGGAGTCGATGAGGGAGAGCTCTCCGAATCGGTGTCGGGGACGTGCTTGCGTTTCTTGGGCGAAAGGAGAGCCTCAGAGGGCGCAGGCTCGTCGTAAGCTGGCGTGGAAGCGGGACTCTCTTGGTCGGAATCGAGCTGGGGTGCCCAGCCATTGCGGACGGCCCGTTCGCATGTCAAGCAAAGACACTCGCAATTGTCAATGCCAAAGTAATCCTCTCCGTAGGACACGGTGATTTCCTCTCCGATATGAATGTTGCGGATGGCAACGACTTGCATGCCTTCCATGCCGCGCGTCACCAGTCGACCGTTGGCGTTGCAATCGTGATTGGCGAACCGAGCGGGACCCAGGAAGAAAGAGGGGGTTTTTCTGCGACTCGACATGACAATGCTAAAATCCTTTCTCTTCAGATCCAGATCCTGCTCCTCTTCCTTGGTCATGGGTACGAGGGTCCCGCTGAGGTACTTGATCTCCTGGCCCTGCTTAATGAATTTGCGGGCGCAGATGGCAGCCTCATGCTCGGTCACTGTGTAGCGATTGGTCGTAGTCACCTCAAAGGGGGAATCGGGGAGATACATCTGGATGTATTTGCGGAGATGGCGGCGAAACCATTCTTTCTCCCGGTCAGTAGGTAGCTTAGCTAGGTACTTCTTGAGACCTGGCATGCTCAACAGCTTCTCTTCCGCTTTGGCAGCGTCTTTGTTGACAATGACATCGTGAAGGAGAGTGCTAGCCACATCATCATCTCTGATGCCGCGGGCGGGGTTGTATTTAGTGCGATTCTTGCGAGTGTTGGTCCAAAAGTACGCCTGCGAGGATAGTACAGTCAGCGACCAGCTACATGACGGCCAATCGAGGGTCATAAACATACACGGTCAACCAGCGCATCTGTTGCGACGTCGTCGTAGCTGGCCAGTTTCGCGAGCGTAAGCCGATCCCGACGGTCATCGGAGGGGCTGGATTTTGCCTTGGGGACCGGCATCGTGAAAGTTCGACCCAGACGATCCCATGCAAGAAGATTTGAGGGGGTGATAAGAGTGTGGGTGGGATTAATGGTAGGAATGAGGCGTCAAAGCGTCAAGGGGAAGAAACAGCGGAAGGTCGGGAAGCAGAGTTAAGACGAGACTACTAGAAATATATATGGGCGCCAAACAGTTTTGGGGGAGTGGGAAAGGAGCGGGATTGAGAAGAAAAATTTTAGGGAACGACGTGAATACGAAGAGGAGTGACTGGCATGATGAACAAAGGAAAGGAAGGAGAGGCAGTGAAAGTTAGCGCGCATGAAAGGACAAAAACTCGCAGATTGACATGATAGTAATAATTAATGTGAAGGCTGGCGCTGGTGCTGCTGCAGTGCCCCCGTCCGGGGTCGGTCGTCGGCGAAACCTGCCGGCCCGCCAAACTGCCTGGCGCTGCTTTTCTTTCGGCCATCCCCATCTCTCTCTATACTCCCCTCACTCCCCCCGACGTTCTTTCCACCTCGGACAGGGTACACAGTCAAAATGATTCAATTAAAGGTGTGTGAGCGATTCTACTGATGTTCGTGATGGGGGAGAGGAAATTTTTCGCGGACTGACAAACCCCCGATCCAGACAATGCTCAACTGCATCGACAACTCCGGCGCCGCCGTTGTCGAGTGCGTCAATGTCCTGAAAAAGAAGCGCCCCGCCACCGTTGGTACGATAATTTCACCGTTTCCAATTCATTATCAAGAGGATAACACTAATATTGGGGTTCCGTGATGAATAGGTGACCGTATCGTGGTCGTGGTCCAGAAGCAACGAAATTTCGGCCCCGACAGCAGCAACAACGTCGGTATCGCAAACAAGGTTCGTCGAGGAGACATTCGCCATGCCGTAGTCGTCCGCGCGGCCAAGGAAATGCAGCGCCCCGATGGTTCGATCGTCAAGTTCGATGACAATGCCTGTGTTCTCGTCAACAAGTCCGGAGACCCCATCGGAACAAGAATGAACGGTCAGTCTCGCCAATTACAGCGGAACATGACCGAGTCGGTATTAGAGAAATGGCTTTACTGACATATACTAGGTGTCGTGGCTACGGAACTACGAGGACGACAGTGGTCGAAGATCCTGTCGTTGGCGCCGATGCATGTGTAGGATATACCTTTTTTTGGAAGCGAATTGTTCTTATATTTATCCCGTTTGTAGCAATAGAAATTTCTTTCTCTTTTCAAACTCCCCTTTTCTTTGCCCAAACATCGCCAGAACTCCACAAAAAATGCTGCTTAACGGAACAAAAACCAAGATCGGGTATCAGGTACATGACATGTAGTATGGCAGATTGAGAATCAGACGAAAACATTACCGCACGCGCAACAGACGTAGTAAAGTTTCTGGAAAGTAAACGTCAGCCGATACCTTCATGGATGCGGGGTGAACCGGCATGAAGGCTTACCATTCCCGTTTCTGCGGAACGCTGTTGCGACTGGAAGAAGACTGCATCGGCTTCGCCGCAGCTCGGGCAGAGCTTGTTGGAACGAGGAAGCTAAGGAAAGAGTGGGTTAGCCACGGAAATTTCAAGACAACTTGTAATGTATCCATGACGCGAGCGCGGTGTATGCTGGACCTCATGACGACGAAAAGCCATCATAATCCTCTTCGGACCAGGAGTCCTCGGAGGATGTGTCACAGACGAAGCAGGTAATCTCTTCCCCACAATGATCACAGAAACCCGGGAGACAAACCGTAGGATCAGATCCCACATCCTGGGTCACACCAGCGGTATCTCCGACTTGAGTGCTGAGCTTGTTTTGGTAAACGCAGTAGGAGGTTGCGGGCTCGCCGACATGGCAGGTTCGGCAGGTGAACATCAACCGGTTGTTGATGCGATCTTCCTTCGGGTAGAGCAAGTTGGAACTGTAGACGTTAGCAGAAGGTTCAGAAAGAATGAAGAGATCAAAACTTACCATTCGCGGCAGAATCGAAAGTGAATTTGATCGGTGGGCTTGCTATCGCCACCGGCAGAGGGGGATGGGCTGGCAGACATTTTCGGAGGTTGTATTACTGATGAAGTGTGCCGGAAAGTAATGAGTTCACGCGTATTGATATGGAGCGAGTGTGTTGTATCCGCTGGAAAGCTTTCACTTGAAACAGATAGAAACGAAAGACGCGAAGAGTGGCTGATGGGAATAGAGAGATGGCCGGGGGGATCGTCAATGGAAGTCGGAAGAAGCGTTGAACCAAGCACCACCGGCTAGTTCCATGACTTGCAGCTCACCGCCCCGTCAATGTTTGCAGTGTTTGCAGCCATCCCTCCCCCGCAGTTTGTCCCGCAGCTGCAAGTACCAGCAAAGCCTCTCCGACTCCTGCAACTTTATATAACTCCACTAGTCCCCCCGCGTCATTTCTGGATCCTTGTCTTCCTTCGTGAAGCTATAGACTCCTCCGCAGATTTTAGACATACACACATCCTTTTTCACAACATGGTATGCCCATACTCAATCCTGTCATAGAAGATCATGTTTACCAAATGTGGTATCTGTGCTGACTGTAAACACTACAGGTAGAGACAGGTCTTCCGGCAGGTTGGGAGGTTCGCCACTCCAACTCTAAGAACCTTCCCTACTACTTTAACCCTATGACGAAAGAGTCTCGCTGGGAGCCGCCGGCCGACACAGATACGGAGAAGCTCAAGTTCTACATGGCCAACTACCACAGCGGACCCGCAGGGCGCTCTGATGGAAACGGTCACAATGAGGGCAAGATCCGCTGCAGCCATCTTCTCGTTAAGCACAGGGACAGTAGGCGTCCCAGCAGCTGGAGGGAAGCTGAAATCACCCGTTCGAAAGAGGAGGCTATCGAGATCCTCAGAAGCCACGAGGCGCGCATCAATGCGGGAGAAGCTAGTCTGGGTGACATTGCTGTATCAGAGTCCGACTGCAGCAGTGCTAGGAAACGTGGAGATCTGTACGTATTTATGATACCACTGCAGGTACTAGACTAATTTATCTTAGGGGCTTCTTTGGACGGAATGAGATGCAGAAAGAGTTTGAGGACGCCGCGTTTGCACTCCAGCCTGGTCAGGTCAGTGGGATTGTGGAGACGGCCTCTGGTGTCCATTTGATTGAACGGTACGTAATCTGAATGCGATTCAGAGATTTGCGTTGTTGATCAGCAGTTGCTAATGTATTGGATATTGCAGGGTTCAGTAAATTTCTATGAATGACATATATACTACGTGTATTTACTGGGAAGAGATCTCTATATCTTTTCACATGAGTTCTTCTTCGCAATTTGTCATTCAACGTAGAGATGTAGTCTTCATCAATGTACACAAAGTATCTTTGAGTCGTATATCAAGCGCTGCAAGACGGTGACTATATGGTGCAGACTGTTGCTACTAACTTGGTTGGAGGAATGAAAGTTTGGCTTGCATATGAGAGGGGCCTTCTATCAATGGCCCAAAGAACTTGGTCTTTCATTCGGTTTGTACAACCTGTAGTGCTTGCCCCCCTGCTATTGAATGTTGTATTTTAATGATTTTCGTGCTGACCTTCGTCCTACTGTAAAGCGTACCGGCCGTGATCTATCTACAACTCTACAAATAGATCACACTCTACATCTATATGTTTAGCTTTCTAAACTAGCTTTATTCATCAGCAAACACAAGCCGAATTATTAACCAGACCAAGTCATCAACCTACTCTACGTCGTCAGCACAAGACCGGAGTGCAAGGTCGGTGTTCCCCCGGATTCTGTCCTACTTGTCTGCTGAGATGACACCGATAGCTATTACTCCTGTTTGTCAGACCATCAGATCTATCAAAGCTTCTCATCGATTACACTGGCTTGGGATATCATCTTTGCAGCTACGTTGCTTTTTCTTGTTCTACTTTTACTACCCCACCTATCAACCCGGTGCTATCATATATGGATTAAGGAAAGATGAAGGAATGGACAGCTGGAAGTCCAATCTGGTCACATCTATGGTTTTCCATCCTTGTCCGACTAGCCTGCCCGACTAGGCAGAAGGAGGCGCTGATGGGGGAGCTTCCGCGAGAGCTTCAGCTCTCTCCGTCGCTCTGCACAAGTGCAGTCCGGTCCTTTTGCAGTGTCTCCATCTGCTGCTCTCCCATCTTTCATCGCTCAACCTCCTCACATCCCATCTCAGAAAGAGATTTCTTCAGAAAAATGTCCTTGCCAGCGCCTGAGTCTACCAAATTCCCTTTCTCGCCTCTGCCTGGTTCCGTCGACGCCTACCTGGCTGAGCAGGGCATGCTGTCGGTCTCAGAACAACGCATCAACGACGTCCTGACTCAGTCTGGCATAAGAGCTGAAAACATCTACCTTCCCCCACGCCTTTCTAGGATCCTTCCCACGAGGTTAATTCACGTCGTATCACAATTACGCTTCGAGGCCTACAGAGCCATTATGATCATGCGGATCTGTAACTCCTGGTACCGAAGGAGGTACGAATACCTGTACCCTGGCGACGACTCCCAGTTTCTTCAACGGCATATTCAATCTGTCCAGCTCCTCCTTGGGTGGGACAAGGACAACAAGCCTGTCAAAGACCAGCTTATTGCGGTGGCGGACCCGGATACGGCGGGCAATAGCGGCCATCGGGCAAATGCGTTGAAGTGCTTTCACCGCTCTGCATACCGCATCTAAATCAGGATTTCAAGATACTCTGTATAATTTGTATATTCTTTCTCTAATTATTATTAAATATGCCTTCTTTTATTGATCTTGAGCTATATAAGGCTGACATTATTAGTCTACTCTATGAGGATTATTCTACAGCTTGTGTTAAGGGTAGTATAGGAGATGTGATAAGTTTGATTATATATATAAACACTAGTTACTGTACTGCTTGGAACTGATCACTGGCCTCCCGCAGTGTTGGGGGGGCCAGCAAGGTGTGATATATAAGCAAGTCACATGACCTCGCCTGATCCACATAATCCGCGACCATATGTTACTCACATGACCCGCCAGTTTACAGCGAACGGGCGGCTCCGCTTTAACAGCTTGTATTATCTTTATTATTAAGGCACGATACCACGTACAAGTCAGCAAATGTATAATCAAGACTAGATTAAGTAATTAGAATATTAGTAAATATAATTATACAGCTACTACTAATTCTTTATATAATTATATTAAGATGTTATTCTTTGAGCAATACCTTTCTGATACAAAGATTCTATATACTATGTGTTAGAGTGGAGCTGCCGGTTTACTGTGATCTAGCGGGTTATGTAAGTAACATATAATCACAGATTATATAAATTAGGTGAGATTATATAACTTGCTTTTATATTATATCTCACTAGCCCCTCTAATGCTGTGGAAGGCCAGTGATCAGTTCTGAGCAGTATAGTAACTAGTATTTATATATATAATTAAATTTATCATGTCTTTTATATCGCCCCTAATACCATCTGTATGGCAAAGCCAAGCAAGTTATCCAATAGTGTATGTACAGCTTCATATAGATAGATATATTAGATAAGCTATATGATCCAGTGAGCTACATACTAATTCTGCCGGCAGTAAACACCAAAAAATTGCATTTGCCCGATGGCCGCTATTGCCCGCCGTATCCGGAAATCCCTGAAGGTTCGATCACGTTGGGCTCGCACCGGCGCAGATACACAGCCTACAAGGATTTTCCTAATTAAATGGTGTGGAATTCTCGTTTTGGGGTCTACTACGCCAGATTATTTGTCTACCACCAGCTAGCGACCAAATATTTCAAATTCCACTTACCGTCGGATGTCCTCCCTGCGTTCAATGCCTGGAAGCAGGGGGATTTTCTTACGGAGACCCGAAAATTGATTCGTCTGTCGAAGAGCGTCCCTTATTCTCCTTTGTACGAGGTCGCTGTGGATGAGCTGGCCACGGCCATTACCCAAAATGTCGAAGGTGGTGAGGCAATTGCACGAACCCGGAAAGCCTTCGCAACAGGCCCGCATAGCTATTAGCTCTTCCGTTTTAGACGACCAGCTGCATGAAGTACGATGTTAGACGAGTCTCTGGAGTTCTTGGTTGTACATACTTGGGGCTACGGATGATATGACTGATGTGGGAATGAGAACATGCATAAACAGTTTTGGGAAATTGCTTTTGTTGGATATTTCGGCTATTTCTTTATTCAAGTGTGGACATACCCATACATTGCTTTTGATCAAAAATATAAATCGCTTTGACAATGCATTCACTGTAGTGCTGTCTGGGTTTAGTCGGAAACACCCAGACACTTGCCCGTTATAATCTGGCAGTTCCCATACCGACGCTGCCAAACGACACCACCTGCCGTTCATAACACACCTCACAACTCAGTAGACGGAGACCAGACTTTCTTCGCTCTTTAACTTTCTTTGAGTACAATACTTAAAGCACTGATCATCTTCTTTTCAGATCATTCAGATTCATCCATGTAATTCGATTCACCACTACTGTTAATTCTTCACGTGAGCATCAAACCCTACTAGGATTATCCTTTCTTGAAAAGAGGTAAGTACCATCCATCCACGATAACTTCATAAGAATATCTGTATACCTCATGTGCCTTCATTCTGTTCTCTATCACCATATTCTAGATTGTTGCCATGCTTCATTCTTTCCATCTCACCCAACAGACAACACCCACATCCACCCACCACATCCAGATATATATCCATCCCTCTACCCCAACCCACCCCAACACCCACTCATCATTGCAAATACCCATCATGATACTAACCACTGCACTCTTAAACCCAGCTAGCAACTCATACCCAGACCCCAAACCAAACCAAACCACCTCCCGTACCCCCACCTCCGACCAAAAAAACCAACCAACAATGTGCCTAACCCTAACAACCAAACACCCCCTGTGCGGATGCCTCACCACCACAACATTCACGCCCTGCCGCCTCATCCCCTGGAACCGGTGTCTGCGGCGCGAGATGATAATAGTGGAGGGAACGCGTCGGCGGAACAATCTTCTCTGCGAAGCTTGCAGCGACAGCAGTAGCAACAGATATTCCGAACGGAGAATGAACAGACTATACACTCTGATGGCATGTCTTGAGGGATTTGACTCGGACGGTGAGTTTGATTGTTTGGATGTAGATGATGAACAGCATGGTCAGGATGATGGTGTTCAGGAGTTCGGGGTGGGAGGGCATGATGATTATGATGGTGGTGATGGTGGTAGTGATGGGAGTAGTGATGAGAGTTGGTATGGAGATGGAGAGGGGGATGAGGGTGAAGGGGATGAGGAAGAATATATAGAAGAGTCCTCCTCATCAGAGGAAGAACTGGTGGTGCTTCGGTGTGACCTGAGTAGAGTTTGTGATTCGATTGCTTCATCGCGCGTTTGTCATGGCACTGGGGCGCTGGGGAGGGAGAAGAGGCGCTTTGGGAGAGGGAGGGTACGGGGGCCTAAGAGGAGGGATACGGCTGATGAGGAGGCTATGGAGATGGATATGGCGATGGCGCGGGCGAAGGTGGAGGATCAGAGGGTTTCTTCTACTTCTACGGTGTCATCGCTATGATGTATGTCTAGGATGTGGGTGAAGATTGACCGTGATTGCATTCGTAGTATTTCTAGTCAAGTCAAAACAAGCCATTTCATGCATGCTTCTAACTACTGTGGTATCCATTATAACGCTGTGTTGAGCCGTTCGAGACGCGATGTGATGTTGTCGATGATGGCCGATCTAGAGTATCTCGTTAGTATATGACCCCGAAGTCATGGAGAATGAAGCAGACGTACTCTCGTTCCACCATCAGCATAGCATCCGCAACCTTCTGCTTTTGTAGTCGTGCCGAAACCGAAACGCGAGGTTGAGCACCACCTGGCGACGCTGGACTGCCCGGGTCAGCGGCGATGGGCGACTTGATTGCGAGCGTCTTGGCCTCGCTGAGGAGATCGCCGGCAATCTCCTTAACCTATACAGTTGTTAGTACCCTACTTATTAGACTAACTAGGATGAACTTACAGCAGCGAGTCGTTGTGTCAGGTCGCCTTCGCCCTCTGTTTGATCCACTGACTCCGACAGGGTCTCAACTTCAGTGACCCACGACTTCTCCTTATCGCTGAGTGGACGGCCACCGGATTTCAGGACCTTGTTACGCAGTGCTTCGTAGCGTTGTACCAGCTGTGCCTGCTTGTCCTTCGCTGCTTGCAGTCGCTGGTCGAGTGCTTCTCCGTTGCGGGACCCCTCCATCCGTTTGCCATCCTCGCCGATTTCGCTGGACACGCCCTTGACTCGGTCAGCGACGTCGGCGAGCTGTTTCAGCTGATCACGCATCTCGCCCTGCAAACGCTCGCAGCGGCGGAAGAGGTCAGAGGCGGCGCGCTCGAGGGCATTGGTGTGGGCGGACAGGATGCGGTGCGCAGCTGCTACCAGGTCCAGCGTAGCAGGGGACAGCCGAACCTGTTCCTTCAAGGCCTGGCGTTGACGGTGCGGGACGTGTTTGTCGATGAAGAACTCCAGAGGGGGCTCTGCGTAGAAAATAGCCGGGACTTGGTATGGAGGCCGACGAGGGGGCAGGATGGGCGAGCCCGGGACTTGTTCCTCCGGGTCGAAGATGTGGAGATCGGCAATGGAGGGAAGAACCTCTGGTGCGTCCAAGATGGCGGCGTGAGGAGTGGAGGAGTGGGATGTGAGTAGCAAATAGCCCAGGTCGTAATCGTAGTACACCAATGCGGCTGGTAGGTGGCCCGTCAAGTCTTTGGCGCCTGCGGCGTTTCCATCAACCTCAAGAATCCGCTCTCTCAAAGACGCAGTGCCTTCGCAAAGGATCTGCAGGCGGAAAGAGCTGCCGGCGGTGTCCTCTGACTGCAGCTCAGCTTCGAGTCGCTGAACCCAGGAAGTGAGAGAGATATAGGTGACGTTGTTGGTATTCGTCACGAAGAAGCTGTACCGCGAGTAGGCATCCTTTGTGAAAGTAGGCCAGTTGTTGGACGAGTCACGCTCCCCTCTAATCGTGTCCAGGGATTCCACGAGCAGGAGATCGGATGGCTCGGAGACAGGCGTACTGAAGACGTTCTTCTTCGCCTTGGGGAGCCACTGTCCTTCAACACCATCGAGCTCGAGACAGACATGGATTCTACCGCTTCCAGTCGAAAGGCAGATGACTGTAGCAGACAGACGGTCATCTCCACTCTCCTCCAGAGCGCGCACCTCCTCGCCCATCATGAGTGCATCGAGATCGACCTTGGCACCGATGACCAGGATATCGCAGAGGTCCAAGTCATCAATCTCGTCTCCCGTGTCGAATCGGAATGGGCCCTGTAACCTGGGGATCGCGCTGGGATTGGCTGGGCGCGTGAGGACGTCTGAACCAGAGCCCGTCTCCGAGTCGAACTCCGTATGTAGAGGGTCCTGGTTATCAATTTCGGCCAGCCAGTCGTACTGCTGCCGACACGCAGTCAGGTCATCCTCATACTCAGCAGGATCCTCCTCCAAAGAAGCCAGCTTCGGAACAATAGCCGCAGTCAACGAAGGGATGGTAGTTGACGGCGCGCGCCACTTGGAGGGCAACAATGGACACAGAGCGTATAGATCGCCTGGTCTCATTGCAACCCACAGAGTCATAGGTGCCCATGCATCCTCGCGTTCATTTCCGCTGCCACCAAAGCAAGCAGACGCAACTTCCATGTCGATAAAATCAGCCGAGAATCCCTTGTTCTTCCCGAATCCCGACGGCGCAAAGTCCTGGTCCGATGAAGTTCCGTCCACCAGCTTCCTCAGGTCGACAGCCAGGGTCGGACGGTCAAACGACCAGTGGTTGTTCCGATCCAATTCCCACACTCGGACAGCAGCATCGGCCGTGATAGTCACAAAACAACCGCCGAGGTTGGTGTGTACTCCCAATGGATGCCATAGCGCCGACACCACAGGCGATTCGGGAATGACGTGGGTGGTTGGACCAAGCTGGTAAGATTTCACGCGGATGGGAGAGCTGTCTGTTCCAGACAGATGGGAAGGATCAGGCAGCACGGCGATGAAGACGGTGCGATCGGCAACAATAGCTAGGAATGCACCATTTGGCGAGGTAATCAATTGACGGATTTTCTCGAAGACTGGAACATTCAGAACCTATACGGCATCAGTTTAGCTTTAGACCAACAATAAATCACTGTCAATCCTTGTCCTACCCTGTACTGCACAGTGCGATCCTCAGACTGCTGCTTGTCATTCGACCTGGAGTTGTGCTGCCATTCATCCTTCAGTCTGGTCAGGCTGGACCAGCGAATCTGGTTATCGACGACGGTAAATAGTTCATTTCCCCGCTTCGCTTGAATGCGCGTAGGTCCCGAATAGACGACTTCTTTCGTTCCGGGTGTATGTTCTGGTAATTTGGAGCCGGAGCTGGCAAAGATGGAGGCACCCGGCGCCGGGCGCGAGAGCCACGGCGGAGTGTAACTGATGACTTTCGGCATGGTCGAGGGGGATTCTTTATGGCAGACAAGTTGAGATTGACAAGCCTTACAATCTCATCCTGCGCTTGAAGCCAAATGCGAAAGGAGAGGGAAGAAGCCGAAAGCACGACGGAGAGGAAAGGCAATAAACAGCTCCCGTCGGGGAAATTTTGGGCGGAAGCTGAAGCTGGATTGAAGAAGGGCGGCGCGCCAAGAAGCAAGACTCCCGTTGGTTGTTGCTTCAGCTTCCCGACCTGTTCGGATCTTCTTTGCAGACTCACTTCCTCTCATTGTTTAGTGAACTCCGCTCCCATAGCTTCCCGGCGTTCATTGTTATTTCCTTCATTCAATTCTTGCTTGCCTAACGCCGAGCATCATGAGCACCCTCGTCCACAACACTGTCGAACGCCTCGACCGGCCGAGTGCCTACTACCTGGGCAAGGTGAGCTTCGTCTCCAAGGCTACCGAACCATTACAATACTAATTGGTGAACTCTCTCCAGAACAAGCGTCGCAAGTTCAGCCACGATGAGGTCGAAAAGCCTGAAGATCCCGTCGACAACCTCAAGGATGCCACCACTCTCTACGTCGGTAATCTGTATGTTATGGAATGATCGCCTTTGTCAAGTCCATGCTAACAGCACAGTTCTTTCTACACCACCGAAGAACAGATCCATGAGCTATTTGCCAAGTGAGCTGAAACCATCGAATGCGCCATCTACGAGTAACGAGCTGACCGGCTACAGGTGCGGCGAGATTAAGCGGCTAGTTATGGGTCTGGATCGGTACAACAAGACTCCCTGCGGATTTTGCTTCGTCGAGTACTACACCCACCAGGATGCGCTGGACTGTTTGAAATACATTGGTGGCACAAAGCTGGATGAGAGAATCATTCGGACGGATCTGGATCCTGGCTTCGAGGAGGGTCGGCAATACGGGTATGTATATGGTCGGGATTCTCAAAGGCGCAGGTTGCTGACGTTGGTAGACGTGGTAAATCGGGTGGTCAGGTCCGCGACGAGTACCGCGAGGAATACGACCCTGGCCGTGGTGGCTATGGACGTGCCTATGCGGATGACCAGCGACGACGGGAGGAAGAGGAGTACGGCAAGGGTAAGTAAAAGGGGAAGACAGACATATTCAGGTTGGCGCAAAAACGGCGTTTTCATATGTACAATCTATTTCTATCATTGCTAGAAAGGCATTCAAGAAAGAAAAGTTTACATCCAATACCCCAACGCTATGCATCATCAGCCATGATGTTGCCCTTTATGTGTGATGCGCGGCATGTCTTTTCTTCACTGATTCCTCGACCTGGCGCAACCACCACGCGTGGATGCGGGCGTCGTCAGTCAGCTCCGGGTGGAAGCTTGTTCCAAAAACGTTCCCTTGGCGGACAGCGATGATGTCTCCCGTCTCGTCATCGGCGTTGATGGGCGTCCCCTGGCAGGCCAATCTGGCAGCCCGTCCGGGCAGAGCTGCCAGGACCTCCACACTATCTGCCATGGCCTGCCGAGCGACCTCGTCTTCCGCCTGGCGCGCCGGTGCAATGACTGTTTCTTCACGCTGAGCCTCGGCCACTTGTTCGCCCTCCTGGTGAGGGAGGATTTTCTCCACGACCGGGGCGCGGATAAAGACGGCGGGGAAGGCGGGTTGATTAGCGCCCAGGAAAGGCAGGTCGAGAGGGGCCTGGAAACTCTCGGTCTGTCGGCCGAAATGATTGCGATTGACACGCACGTCCAACCCACCGATCAGATCCTGACCACCTTTCTTTGTGCGGTTGGCCGACTCAGCGAGGAGGATCAGACCGGCGCAAGTACCCCAAGTAGGCCTGCGGTGGACCCTGAGATGCCAATTAGTATGAACCATACAGCATGGATGCGGAAAATCGATCAGACATACTTGACAAAGTCTCGCAAAGGCTCCAAGAGGTTAGACCTAGCGGCAACAAGGGCCATGGTTGTGCTTTCGCCCCCGGGCAGCACCAGCGCATCGCATCGCTCGAGTTCCTGCGGGGTGCGCACTTCGATAAAGTCCCATTGCGAGGCGGAACTGCGGTCTTTGGCGGGCAAATCGGCGGCCGCACTCTTCAGCAACTGGATATGTTCGTAGAAGGCGCCTTGCAAAGCCAGCACGCCGACGGTGATGCAGCCCATGGCGAAGTATAGAATGTGAGTCAGTGGCGGCAACAATAGAACTATGACTCCAAACTCTCTATACTTTATTTGATGGGAGCAACGCCGCCTTATGTCAGCGGATCAATGTCGGACCGCTTATCACCACGTGCTGCCCCGCGTTCAGCCTGACATTAATGGGGATATTATGATCATGAGTTTGGTATCTTCTTTGCTTTGCTGTGATAATTAGCTGGTTACAGCCTATCATTTAGGATCAGGATCTCGAGGCTGATAATTGGTACATTGGAACATCGAAATGTATCAATGACCCTCGTGGAGAACCAACCCAACCCCTCATCTCACCTTCGCATAGACAGACACCCGATCTCCTCACATCAGCTAGATACACCACTACATCTCACATCTCACATCTCACTCCTCACTCCATTGAACACCACCACACCAACCCACCCAAAATGCCCACCCCATCCGACCCCAAACCCACCCTCGTCCGGTGGTACATCGACACCCGGCCCCTAACCAGCACCTCTCCGGCCCTCCCCCTCCTCGAGACCCTCCAACCCACCGAACAACAAGCCATCCAGAAATACTACCACCTCAAGGACCGGCACATGTCCCTCGCCTCCAACCTGCTCAAGTACCTCTTCATCCACCGCACCTGCCGCATCCCCTGGTCCCAAATCACCATCAGCCGGACCCCAGCCCCGCACCACCGACCCTGCTTCATCCCATCCGCAGCAGTGCTTTCCTCCTCATCCACCGCCCCAATCCCAACAGTCGAATTCAACGTCAGCCACCAAGACTCAATGGTCGCCTTAGCCGGCACCACCATCCCACCCAACCCTACACCAGCCAAGCAGCAGCAAGAAATCCAAGTCGGAATCGACATCACCAGCACAACAGAACACCTACGCTCCCCACGGAACCCATCCCCGCCTACCCGCTCCGCATTCCTGGAGTACGTATCGATCTTCACGGAGATATTCTCGGCGAGAGAGCTGTCGTTGATAAAGTCCCTGACGCATCCTGTTCACGGGTACTCGGTGTCGTCGACGGAAGGGGTGGTGTATAGTTATCGGGTTTTTTTTGCGTATTGGGCGCTGAAGGAGGCGTATATTAAGATGACGGGGGAGGCATTGTTGGCGGAGTGGTTGAGGGAATTGGAGTTTTTGGATGTGAGGGTTCCCGATACGGATGGGGAGGTGTATCGTGGGGTTAGGGTGTTGATGAAGGGGAGGGAGGTGAAGGAGGTGAGGGTGGAGGTGCAGGCGTTTGAAGGGGGGTATTTGGTTGCGACGGCTGCTAGGGGGGGTAGGGTTGGGAGGGTGGATGATGGTACTAGGAGGGAAGGTGATGGGGATGCGTGGGAGGGCTTGAGGAGGTTGGATGTTGAGGGGGATGTTAGGGAGTGTGCGGAGGGGAGGTGTGCTTGTTTGGTGTGATGGTATCTATCTTACGACACGTGGGTATTGTGGTTTACGTAGGTTGGTTTTGGTGAAGTGACGGTCTAAAAAAGCATTAAGAATATGCTCTATATACACTCTAGGAAATAAACCCATGGGCCGCGTCATGCAATGGATGGCCTGACAAACTCCAAGACAAGGTCTTTACTTTACCCCCCCGCTGCATCTTTCTTTCTACTGGATTTATGTCCCTCCAGTCTGTTCTCTCGCCCCTCCAGCAGTGGTTGTTGCTACCTTAATCAGTCGGGGTATCCACCCACACTCTTCTCTCCTCTGTCTCGCCAATTCAAGCATTACTCGTGTCGCGTAATCGTAGATGACGGGAATAACAATAGTCAGCCTGAGAAAGTTGATCTGTTTGTTCTCCCTACAGCTCCACAGCAGTGGACTTGCCGTTCACGGCAACCGTCGACTCCACCTCCTGCTTGTCCTTGTCGGCCAACTCGAGCAGAGTCTTGAGCATGGACTCGCGCGTGGACTTGGTCAGGGCGTCGATGTCGGCGGTCGTGAGACCTTCCGTGCTGATTGGGGGGAGGACTATTTGTAGTTAGCACTTCATAAATCCAGCCAGAAGGCGAAGAGGGTGAAACGTACCCTTGATCTTGATCGTGCCCGGCTCGAACCTCATGTTCCGGGGAGACAGCACATGCGAGTAATTCTCCGTAACCACCGGCACAATCGGCACACCCGCCTTCAGCGCAAGATGGAACGCGCCCTTCTTGAAAGGCAACAGTTCCGGGGTATCAGAGTAGCTGCGCGTGCCCTCGGCGAAGATGAAGACACTCTGGCGATGGGTGCGCATCTCATCGGCAGCACTATCAAAGGCCTTGACAGCCGTTTCGCGGTTGGCACGATCAATGAAGACGGTGCGAGAGAGGGACATGAACCAGCCGAGGAAGGGAATATATTTGAGGGACTTCTTGGCCGTGACACTGCAGTACGGAGGGAAGATGTGGCCGAGCATGAGCACGTCCAGTTCGGACTGGTGGTTTCCGATGAACACGGCGGGTCGGGTGTTCAGGTGTTCAGCGCCTTCAATGATGTTGAAAGTCACGCCGGTGGTGTAGCGCATGACCCACTTGAAACTGCGCGCGGTGGCATATTGCGAGATGCGGCCGTAGCCGGCGACACGGAGCACAATTGAGGCGACGACGCCGTAGGTGGCGCAGAGGAGGAGGGAGCCATAGGCGGCGAGACACCGGGCGACGAAGGCGGCGCGGGGAACTTTTTGGCCGAGGGCGAAGAGAGAGAGCGTGAAGACGACGAAGGAGCTGATGCCCGAGGCGACGTAGGAGAAGAGGGACATGGTGGTCGTGGTGGGGAGGAGGTTTTCAGATGGGGGGTAAGAGGACCGGCTGATCTGCATCAGGAACGGGTTAGACGGGGGCTTTATAGCCAGAAGCCTAAGGGTGGGCTCGGGGCAAAGCGAACCTGGGGTTCTCTGGGGTATGCGGACTTTGGGGATGACGAGGTCAGGCGAGAGGGCCGCAAAGACGGTGCATGACCCGGCGGTAGGGGTGGTGGGAAGAAGGGGAGGAGGAAGCGGAGGAGGACTAGGAAGAGGGATGTCGGGGAGGAAGAGAAGGAGAGTGAGAAGAAGATTGACAGAAACCTTGAACTTAGGGAACAGAGAGGGAGATCTTCGCGGCATCCAATGAATCCCAAACTCTCGTCTTTCGGTCTCAACGGATTTGGATGGATTTCCGCCGGTTTCTGCCGCCTCACCGCCTGTTGCTCCGCCCAACATCCCGGTATAGTACTCAACCGCCAGCCAACTGAATCTAGTAGTATCATTGCTCTACAAGTATGAAGACAAGTGGGTATCAATGTGCTAATAATAGCTCGATTATGCAGCCGCTCGGACAACAGTCTTCCAAGAAGATATGTTCAGCTCCGTCGTCCGGCCTCGTCCCTTCCCAGCCTCCCACGCTAACATACAGAATCCAATCCAGATGCCTCGAACCTCGCGAGGTCTGGATGCTCGCAATGCCAGTTCTAACCAACCCACCGGCGAACGCCCTCGTAATGCTGATGCTGGTGCAAATTCAACCCAGAAAGAGAGAAAGAGAAAAGACAAACGCCGCTCCTCGCCAATAGGGATTCCAGGGTACAGATGGGTTCGTGGACAACAGGAACCCGTCAAAGAAGTACACAGGGGAAGCAGGAAGAATACTAAGAACAAGGGAGAAAGAAAATCATGCCATATCTTCGTCATCCTCTTCATCATCATCCAGGGATTCCATGGCATCCTTGATGTATTGCGCCGCCTGAAGCAGTTAGCCGGTGCATTCGAGTTTGGCGGGGGATAGTGAGGGTTCAAGACTTACCTTGGGATCCAAATTCAGAGCGGTCGTGAAATGCTTGATAGCATTCGCCTTCTCATGCAACATCTTGTAGAGTTTACCCAACAGATAATGCACGTTAGCCTCATCCGGTGCCATATCCTTGAGCACCTTCAATTCGGTCAGCGCCAACTTGAGCTCCGAGAGCTTCATCAGCACGCGAGCCTTGCGGAAGCGAGCAAGAACCGAATGAGGCGCCAACTGACAGGCCCGCCCGTACTGGGCGAGAGCCCCGCGGGGGTTGTTCATCTTCTCCAATACCAGGCCGATGCAGCAGATGAGCACCGCGTTCGTAGGATTGATGTTGGCCGCATTGCGGAAATGTTGCTCGGCAAACTCGAGCTTGCCCATCTTGTCGTATACCGTACCCAATCCATACCAAGCGTTATAATGGCGACTGTCAGCGCTGATGCCGTGTCGATACGCATCGAGAGCCTTGTCGTATTCTTCGTTGGCCACATATTCATGTCCTTGCAGGGTGAACCCGTACGCGAAATGAGGATCAAGTTGCGTGGCTCGCTTGAAGCACTTCAGAGCTTGGTCATGATCCCGCTGGTGGGAGAATGAGTTGCCAACGGCGCACCAAGCCTGAGGGGAGAGACGGTCTGTTTCCATGAGCTCGTGCGCCAGATAAGCCAGCTCGACATCATTCTTCAGATGCCAGAGCACCGTTGAGTAGATTTCCATATCCTCCAACCGGGACGGAGCCATACTCTTTACCCGGACAAAGTATTTCTCGGCTTCGGAATACATCGCCTGCTCGTAGTATGCTCGACCTATTTGGGAGAGTACCCATGGAGTCTCCCGCTGGCCTTGAGACAGAGCCGCGAATATCTGGGTAGCTTCAGCGCAACGATAGCGACACAACGCAAAGTATCCGGACGCCAACTTCGAGAACAGCTCTAGTAACCATGTCAATGCCTCCACAGCTTTAGACCGATCAAGCGAAGGTCCCCTCGATGAAGTGTGGTGCGTCCCATTCGATGCCGAGGTGGCTGGCCGGTGGTCCTTGGCCTCGCCATCATGCGTGTCACCGATGTGTTTTCGATTGCCGCTCACGACCCGGCCCACACTAGGAGCGGTTGTAGTGCGACCCTTCGCACCAGTAGCCCTGACCTTCTTCATTTCTCGACCATCCTTTGTCCCCAGCGCGGTACTAGAAAGCTTGCTCGTAGTAGGCTTAATCTGATTGAAAAGGCGCACGCTCCGCCGTTGCGGCGCACCAGGTTCAGTGGGTTGCTGCGCGGAATGAGCAACTGATCCAGAGACAGTTCGCTTGCGGTCGCCCACACGGACTCCGTGCGAAAGCTCTCGCTCCGTATAGGTTGTAGTCGACTCATCGGGCTCGGGCTTAGTTCTGGTCCGGGGTCGTATACCCGTGGGCTTCATCTTTGGTGGGGAGTCCATGCCATGATCGGCACTAATCGTTTGTATTGTTCGGTTCTTCCGTGCAGGTGCCAAGGGCGGTTCCATAGGTGCGTCTGTCCGGTGCATGACACGGTCGTCCGACTCACTGCTTTGGCCTCCAGGTGTTTCGGTCCCTTCTCGAATTGCCGGGACTGCTGATGTACCCGTGGATGCCACGCTGACTGTGCTGCCATTTAGCTTCTCCCAGAGAGCGGAGCTCCCATGCGTGCCGACTGCCTCAGTCCGAGACGTCAAAGAAGTGAAGGGATCGGTGCTCGAGTTCAGTTTCGGTTGCGACTGCAAGGGACCTGCGGGATGTGCTGCCTTATCCGAAGACACGTCCAAGTCATCTTGTGAGGAGGATGCTAATAAAGCGCTGAGTTCAGGTGTCATCTTGAAGATATTGGGAACGCGGATGTTGACCCCTTTGAACAATTAGCGACAGCATTCTCCCTATCCGCCCGTGATACTCACCAGTCTCACACAAGCCCAAGAAAGCGTCCCACATGAACGGGTTCAACTTGAGCGCGTCGACATAGCATTCAACAGCCGCATTGAGTTCATTGTGCGCATAGAACAGCTTGCCCTGTAGACATAGCACCGCTGCCGCATCGGGTAAATGTTGCCTGCGCGTTTCGCTGTGTTTTCCTGGAACGGCGAAAAGAAAATGTCAGCTGTGATCAGCCTGAAATGATAGTCGCGTCCATTTGCGACAAGCGGAATACTATAAAGAAGTGCTGAACAAAGCGTACCCCAATGATTCTTTGTAGACCAGAGTCCTTTGCTTCGTTCCAACGCCGTGATGCCTTCAAGATATTTTCCCAGGTCCAAGCACGCCTGAGCAAACACATACGCGCAGCCCAGGTGAGTGCCTCGCCAGCCAAAGTTCTTGCTGTAATCGTATGCTGCTTTCACTTGACCGCTCTGGAGATGGCATAAGGCGAGTAAATATGAAGATTCCGCTGCTCGGGGTTCGTAGGCGTGCAACCGACCGGCAAGGAAAAGCGCATTACGGACGAGGTTGTTATCAAGATGGTAATATATTAATTGCCTAAGTTGGCTCGATATATGTGCGGTGGAGGGAGACATGTTGAGGTGTGGGATTCATTCAAGGAGGGAGGGAAAGAAGGAGGGGGGGGGGGGGGGGCGATATCACAGAGGCGCTGCAGGAGAGGAGGCGGTATTGACGTTCGTATTGGGAACGGCGCGAAGGGAGCTTTGCGGAATCAAGGAACAGGTGAGCGACAGGTGAGGCCGTTAATCTGTTAACGCCGAACCAGCATGGGTGGAGTTGAGAAACAGTCCAAAGGGATTGAAAGAACACTAAGAGATGTGAGGGGAGCGCCGCGTGAACCGGATTAAGGCAACGACGACGTGGTGTTTCTTTCAACTGTATAGATAGGGAACAGAGGGAAAAAAAAGATTGTTAGACCGTCAACACCCGTTAAAACAATAACCAGTAAAGTATATCGCCTGGCTAGTTTGCGCCCGATGGATCGCAACGGTTCTTGTCTAGATATCCACCAAAAACCAGACTAGTCGAGAGGGGGTGGGTTGAAATGCGAAGCTGTGGCAGAGGAGAAAGGGAAAGTGGATGACGTCCGGACGACTCGTGACGCCGTGTAGGGCCCAGGAAGGTGTCAAAGGGAGCCAAATCGCATGTCGCGACGAGCAGACAGCGAAAGCGGAAGACAAGATACACGCGGAAGAAGCCCAAAGTAGGCCGAGGGGCGAAGCGGCAAAGTCCGACAGAAGTCGTAGTTCACGACGCCTTATTCTGGCGATGTTTTGGAGCAGCGAATCTGGCGGAGAGCGTGGCTGGTGAGAGGCGGAGGGCGGCTTGGCTGTTAGTAACTTCCAGCTTGGTTGTGGTGGGCAACGCCATTCCCTATTCGCCATCTTCTAGTACTGGTACTACTACTACTACTTACTACAGGTGTTACTTTCATCTTCACTCCCACTATCAATCAAATCTATCAATCCATTATCTAGACTCCTTATCCCTCCCCGATCATGCAACTTCCTTATCGCTAGTTAATTTATTCACTAAGCGGATCATCACTCCCTGTCATTTCCACCAACCCCCCACTACACAATACCGTCACTTGCATCCGCACGCGACCTGCATCATCGTCATCCGATCATACCGGATTAATCTCAACTTCACACCACACACTCCACCACCACTTACAACTATGGCTCAAGTCAGTATACCCAATTCCCCCCCCCCAGAAATAAATCATATCCCTGCATCCAAATAACTAACCAACCTCTCAACAGAAAGCCGCCAAAACCCTCGCCGCGCGCAACGCGTCCCTCCTCACCCGCACCCACCTCATCAGTGCCGTCCTGCACATCCTCTTCCTAACTCTCCACTGGCTCTTCAACCGCCCCCGCTCCCTAATCCCCTACTTCACACTCGCCTGCCCGACCCTTCTCATTGAATTCTACCTCGAACGGCTCGGCCGTCCGGTCTACAACCCCGCTGATGGGTCCCTCCGCTCTCCCGGCGAGGATCTCGGCGCCGCAGGACTAACAGAATACATGTGGGACGTGCTGTACTGGACGTGGGGATGTCTTGGAGCTGCCTGCTTGTTTGGGGACCGTGCTTGGTGGTTGTGGATTGTCGTGCCGGTGTATTCGGTCTGGTTGGCGTATAGTACCTTTATGGGGATGAAGAGTGGGTTGGCGGGTATGGGAGGTGCGGGTGCTGGGCAGGAGCAGGGTGGAGGTGCGGCGGAGAGTAAGAGGCAGAAGAAGATGGAGAAGAGGGGTGCTAGGGGGGTGCAGTATCGGTGAGGGGGTTGACATTTCGGAATTTCAAGTGGAGTGGCTTTTTGGGGTTGGGTTATGCATATATATTACTACAGATGGCTACGCATTGCGCGGTTGGGTTTCACCATTTCTTATGGTAAAGCAAATTGTATTTTAATGTATGTGAAGATAGATTGGATGCGAGATGAGCGCTTCCCAAAAAGCAAAAGGTTTCAGTGCCAGAGGGGCACAGAAATGTTGAAGCACGAGTGGCCGTTACAAGAATTGAAACAAATAAAAACAGCACATAGTACACAGCAAAGGTAGGAAGAAGAGGTTCTGGTGGTATAGGGGCAGAATAGAAAATGCTATATCATGACGTACAAATCGTGGGGGAACTATGTGGGGAATATCATGGCCGACCTGAGATGGTAAATCAAGCGAATAACAAGAATGTTTTGGGATATCAAATCATGAAAGAATTGCCAAGTAACAGCCAACCCTGTTTGTTTGTCTGTCTTGTCTCAGGTTACAACTCCTCTGCAGAGTTGTCTTCGCTGGCTGGGGTTGTTTCAGGGATGATGGTTTCCTCAGCCTCGGGTACAACACTGCTGGCAGTGGAAGCCAGAGTTGCGGAGGACGATTCGACGTCATCCATGGGCGAGTCCTCTTCGACCCCCTCTATCTCGATGTCCTCGGAGAGTGACTCGGGGGCATCTTGCACCTCTTCGTTGTTATCCTCGTCGTCGACGATGGCACTAGACTCGAAGTCTGCTTCGGATGATGCATTTGAGGCTTCATCGGTTTCGTGGATGGGCTCTTCGGATTCCGGGAAGGGGGCAGTCGAAGCCTCTGCATCGGAATCACTAACCTCATCAGAAGCGTCGTCAAATGATACAGAAGGCTCTGGTGTTGGCGTTGGAGTCCCATAAATCGAGTGCAGCTTGCTCATGATCTCTTCAGCATAGGCAGAGTCCTTGTCCACAAGTAGACCCGAGATGAGAGCCGCAACAGCCTGTTGCTGCTCAGCCGACAATTGGGGGCCAGAAGCCTGTGGTGTTTCGCCTTCCGACGGTGTTCTCACATCAGCCGCAGCTACTCCCCATGCCGCCTTCAGGTAACCGGCATCCTGGTTATCACCCAAAGGGCTAGTCGACTCGTATTCCGAAGGCAATCCACCGTTAGCCTGGGGCGAAGCATGCTCCTCATCATCTGCCATACTCTCCTCGTCGCCGTCAGATCCGTCATTCACGGCCCGAGAGGCAGCATCATAAGCAAAGACAGTCCCATCCGGACGCTCAGCATCGGCTGACTCATCTGCCAGTCCTTCTTCATCCACAACAGGCTCGGGGGCGCGGCTAGGCTTAGGCAACGAAGGCGGAGGCTCAGATCTGGTGTCAAAGTCATCGCTTGCTTCCCTGGCAGCGATCTTCCACTTGCCAACGTCCCTCAGCCGGGTCAGCTCCTTGGCGGCGGCCTCAGCAACTTCCATTCCGTGCGACAAGATCTCGTCCGCTACTGCTCGCGCTTCCTCAAGCTTCGCATGCTGAAGGCCAAATTCCAAGAACTCATCCTTCCATTCCTCGAACTGCGCCTTCAATGCATGGTACCTAGCCCAATCCTTGTAGGTAACACCGTCCATCCAGGCCCAACGCATGCCGACCTCTTGAAGTCCGAGATCACGGACGCTATCTAGGACATCGAGTGTAGAGTTGATTGCGAAAGAAACTCGCCTTGTAAGCTCTTGGTCGAAGGAATGGCGCCATTCTCGAAGGGCATGAGCACGGTCCCGGATAGACACTGCGGCTTCCTTGATGTTTCCGAAAAGCTCGTTTGTCGCTGCCTGCTCGTCTTGTGGCACGTCTTCTTTGGGCAAGGACTCGGCGAGGTTGTTGATATGACGCTTAAGAGCTATAAGCTCGTTGTCAACAACGGCCTCCAATGCGGTCGCCAAGCTTTCTCCATGTGCGCGAACGCCACTTCCAATGAACCCGTCGACTATCTCCTGCAAGCGCTCTTCAAGATCCTCGAGTCCCTTCTCTGCGGCAACGGCAAATTTTTGTTGCCAGGTGCGCAGGTCAGTCTCGATGCTATTGCGTGCTTTCGCAGCTTGTTCAGTAGGCGACAGCGTAGGCGTTGCGGTAGCTTGCTCGGTTGTGGACGACGTCGTCAAGTCGTTTACCTCAGTGGCCTTTGGTGCAGTGAGAAATGATGCTTGTTGAGATGCACTGTGAATGATAGGTTAACACATGAAGCACGTATATCGCAGCGATAAAAGCCTACCTTTCCACTTCCTCTGCAACCTGTCGCAGCCTCTTCTCCTCACGATAACTTGCCAGTCTTTCGCCGATCTTAACTAGCTGAGGCTCGACATTCTGAGAGTACACCCCGGTGACTCTGGGCCATAATGTACTATGAATGAAGTAGATAGCCGCCGACCATGAGTTTTGCGCATAAGGGAGTACGGTTGTTGTGAGAATTTCCTGGCCCGTTGCATAGGTCTTACCGATGAAAGGCCTATACTTTGCGCCGAATGGGAGAAGGTAGTCTCCATATGCAGACTTGATCACGCCGTTGGCCTTTTGGAAGGATGGCGACAAGGCCGCCTCGACGGTTTGAACATGGGGATATAGTTGAGATTGGTACAAGCCATTTGCCCTGTCCTTAGCGGACTGCAACTGTGGGACGACAATCGTCTCCCACTGCTGCTGGCCATAAAGCTGGGCTTTATCCAAAGCGGGTGCCCCGAATCTCTCATATCCGTGCTTGACGACGCGCGAAGTGGGTGCGTAGACTTTCTCATTAAGAACCTGCACGTATGGGCGCGCTGTCTCGACATATGGCGCGCCATAAGCGTTATAGTACGGCATCACATGGGGCTCGACATAGGAGCGAGCAACAAGGTATGGTTTGCATACTCGCGGCGAGGAATCCGTAAGGTCGGAGAGCTGAGAAGGGCAGCGCAGGAATGGCGTAAGAAGAGCATACCAGATACAGAGCCTATCAGTTTGATCGCCAGATTAGCAACGGTTCAACTCCATAACGCGGTGGACCGAAGATCCCGGTCTAGCTTTTTAAGCAAGACTTACCGCACCACCAACCCAACTGTCCACCGGATAGTTCCTCGTTTGCTTGGCTTGGAAGCACTGCTCCTGGATTTTATTATCCGATCGGCCCCATCCGGGGTGTGGCTATTATCCGGAACGGTCATCATGAGTCGTCCCCGTCGTCAACGGGGGTGCCGCTCGCTTCGAGTCCGGCGGGCAGAAAACTGGAAACTCGCGTCGCGTGTCCAATTCAATGAAGATAGAAAATGACTGACTGAGTCAAAGATGGTGAGGCCTAGATTATCTCCTGAGCCTTCCGGAGATTCGGACAAACTAAAGGGCCCAGTCGACTTTGGGTGGGAGATGAAAGGGTCTTAGCAACGTTTTTCCGGGATCACAAGCTAGGATCCTCGAAGCGCACGCGACGATCAATTCCCGTCTCCGCCTTGGCGCCGTCGAGTTTTAGATGGGTACTCTGTAATACCAGTCTGTCTGTGTCTTGACGGGAAAGGAACAGACAGTGTCACGGTATATATCTAGAACGGAGGGAAATCAAGGCTTGAATGACGAGATTTGGAGTGGGTGCTCTGTCGATCACAATGAATAGATCTCCAGTTGTCAACAACACGCTTGCTGGATTCAGGGAACAACAACAATAGCCATAGTAATTAGCCTTTATTGTAAGGAGCTGTGAGGTCATCGGTCCTTCGGTGGCACTTCACAATACAGTCTTACAGAATCTGACGTGCAGATCTTGCATTTATGCAAGCAATTGGGCGGCCCCTCACCGCCCTTGGTGGTACTGTACCGTAATATCACATGACCTAGACATGGAGGGTCTTGTGCTGATTCAGCATATGTTGGGGGGATCGACCAGTTCAGGTGAACCACAGCTTTGGCTGGTCTTTTGCCTTTCCACCGACTGCTTTGCGTCTTGCCACATACGCCTCCTACGGAAACCCGCCTATGGTTGAACACTGACGTGTATATTCTCCTAGCAGCAACTATTCGAAACTCTTGTTGAAGGAGGATTGTACCAAATCGCAAGAGGATCCCCTGGCGCAGTGTCTCCGTTCCGTCATCTCGCCTTCTCGGTTCACACGTACCTGTTCGCGTTGCTACACGCCTTTCCGAACATGATATCTGATTGCCGCTGCTGAAGACGATAAGCTCGTCGAGTCGACGTTGATTGCGCAAAATGGAGTTTCCCGAGGGCTTGTCCCGGGATTATACCCATTCTACCTCGTTCCCCGACCTGATGAATGACCCGGCCTATCAGACGAACTATAAGGGGAAGGAGAGGGAGTTTGAAGAGCCAGACACTTGTCGCATATGCCGTGGTGAGGGTACCGAGGAGGAACAACTTTTCTATCCGTGCAAATGTAGCGGGAGCATCAAGTTCGTTCACCAGGCATGCCTCGTAGAATGGCTGTCCCATTCTCAGAAGAAGCATTGCGAACTCTGCAAAACGCCCTTCCGCTTTACGAAGTTATACGATCCGAATATGCCCCAGAACCTCCCTGCTCCGCTTTTCCTCCGACAGCTACTAATCCATAGTTTTCGCACTATCGTCACATGGCTGCGGTTTGTACTCGTCGCGTTCGTCTGGCTTGGGTGGCTGCCATGGTCGATGAGGGCGATTTGGAGAGCTCTTTTCTGGCTGGCTGATGGCCGCTGGTCTGGGGCGGATGCTCCCCAGCAATCTTCATCCGAACATCTAGCCCAAGTTGTAGCAAATGGAACGGCTTCCATGAATGTGGGAGCCGCTACCACCGCATTAGCGGGAGCATCAGGTGTGCCAGCCGTGCAGTCACCGGTTTCATCTATGTTCAGTTTCTCATCAGGCGAGCCTCTACTTCTCACAATCATCAAAAAGGCTTTTTCTGCCTTGTTCTTTCCCGCAATGTCGGGTACCGGTTCGTTGAGCACTAGCCCTTCAAATGTGACAGCTGGATCATACAAGCCTCGGCGCCCATCGTGGCTCTCAGATGTGGAATTTCTCAATACACTGACACCATCGCCCACGATTAATAACATTCTTATTGATACCTTAGAAGGTCAACTCATAACATTATTGGTTGTCATCTCGTTCATTCTGATCTTCCTGATTCGCGAGTGGGTTGTTCAACAGCAGCCCATGGCCAATATCGCCGAGGGTGAGCGGGAAGCTGCTGTCCAGCTAATTGCGAATAACCGTCCAGTACACCGCCCTGAAGAGGTACAGCCTGAGCTACATGCCCCTCAGCCAGAGGATGTACCCCGCGATGAAAGCACTCATGAACATGTCGAAGATATTTCTAACCGCGCAGACGAAGGGGGACTTGGATCTCTGGCTGAGACCGAGTCGTATCGTGTGCATTCTTCGTTTCGCGATGGTAGCTCAAGCAGTTCCAGTGACTCGGGTACCCAGGGACCTAGTACTTCGCAGCATATGTTCCGGCGTAATAGTGACAGTGAGGATGGACTGAACCCCTTGTCCCTCGAGCACTCGACCTCTCACGGCAACCAGGTCTGGCCTGGGGTGGACACGTTCAGGGATCTCTGGGCGCGTGGCAATGGTGATCCTGAGCAGGTCCTCAGACTCGTAAGAGAGGAGGGGCGCCAGGATGAGCTGGGGTGGATCGTCACGGCAATGACCAAGCTTCAACGGAACGATTCTCTGCGCGGTTCTTGGAGGCGCGAGTCACCTCTTCACGAGGCTGCGAGTTCGGATTCCTTTGCCGATCAGACGGAGATGCAAAGTGAACCCAGTTCAGCACGATCACCACTGTTGGAGCCCTCGTCATCAGCGGTCAACCGTCATCCCTGGGACATAGCTTCCGTGTCCAATCCACTGGGGACTGGCGCGAGTGATGATCGGCAAGACCGCGAATTTACCAATGATGATCTCGGCTCTAGCCTTCGTGCTGTAGGCGACTCTGAGGTACCGTCCGATTCGACACCTTCCGCCGACACTGTCATTCAGTCTAATCATGTTCCGAGCGCTTCGGCTTCGACCAACGCGGTTACACCGAATGCTGAAAGGGCCTCTGAAAATGCCGTGGCAACGCCGCAGAATGATCAAGCAGCGGCGGCTTCTCCGAAGAACTTGGTTGCCAGACTCTTTGACTGGTTCTGGGCTGATCTTGAAACTCCTGACCAAGGTCAAGATCGTCCGCAAGAGGATGATGATCATGTAGTCGAGGACCCTGCTTTGGAGGCGCCGTTCGTACCCATTCAGAATAACAGACGCCTTGCCAACGAAGCCGCACCGAACAACCAAGCCATCGCCCCAGACTTCGGTCTTGATGCAAATGACGCTGAGGCAGTCGAGGAGGGAGATGACTTGGAGGGCATTCTGGAGCTCATTGGCATGCAAGGACCAATTTTTGGCCTTCTGCAGAATGGAGTCTTCAGCGCGCTCTTGATCTCGTTTACCGTGGCAATTGGCATTTGGCTTCCCTATCTCTGGGGCAAAATTGCCCTTGTACTCCTCGCGAACCCCGTACAACTGGTCTTCGGCGTTCCCATGACTGCCATATCGGTCTTCGCAGATGTGACGCTGGACACTCTTATTGGTAGCTTGGGCTACGTTCTGTACTGGCTCAGCCTCATATGCAAAGTGGTGCTCAGTCCCTTCGGTGCTTTTGTTCCATTGGGAGAATGGATTCCGCAGACCAAGTCCGTCACCAGTGCCTCGTTATCACTCATCGACGCCAGTAGTCACCGACTACGGAATGTTTTGCAGGCTTTCTTTGTCTTCCACGAATCCGACGTGCCTATGTTCTCGGTTCTTTCCCATCAAGCTCTAAAGATCCACCAAGCGCGCATCGCCGCCTTTACTCATACGGCCTTCACAGTTGGCAAATTCATTCTGCATGACTTCCCTCTTCGAATTGTGTCTCATGGACCGGTGGGTGCCTTTACAGTTGAGAATGGCTTTGACGGCTTGGCCCAGCTACTAGTACAGGCACGGGACCAGGTCTACGACCTTGTCCATCAGTTGCTTTACACCTCGAAGGGCACAAGCTGGTTCGGTTCCAGTGTGAGTGGTTCAGCTTCGGCAAGCATCACCATCAGTTATGATCTAGCTGTGTGGGATACGAAAGATCGCGTCATTGCTATCTTTATGGGCTACCTTCTTGCGTCGGCCCTCGGACTTCTGTACTTGCGTTTTACCAACATGCTTTCTGGTGGTGATCGTGGACAGAGAGTGGAAGGCATTGTTGCCGACATACTTCACCAAGCAGGTGGTGTGATGAAGGTTATCCTCATCATCGGCATCGAAATGATTGTTTTCCCACTGTATTGCGGTTCGTTACTTGATGTTGCACTGTTACCTCTCTTTGAAAACGCCACGATTGCGTCGCGTTTAGAGTTCACCTCCTCATCACCCCTTACGTCTCTGTTTGTGCACTGGTTCATTGGAACCTGTTATATGTTCCATTTTGCCCTTTTCGTATCCATGTGCAGGAAGATAATGCGGAGCGGTGTACTCTGTAAGTAATACACTGCCCCCTTCCCCAAACTTCTGCTAATTCATGACTAGACTTTATTCGCGATCCAGACGACCCGACATTTCATCCGGTGCGAGATGTTCTGGAGCGCAACATCACAACGCAGCTGCGGAAGATTGCGTTCAGTGCCCTTGTCTACGGCGCTCTTGTCATTGTCTGCCTGGGTGGTGTCGTATGGGGAATCTACTACGCCTTCGACGATGTGCTTCCTGTGCATTGGTCTGCTACTATTCCTGTCTTGGAGTTTCCCGTGGACCTGTTGTTCTACAATTTCGTCATGCCGCTTGCCATTCAATCGATCAAGCCATCGGATGGTCTCCACAATCTTTATGATTGGTGGTTCCACAAGTGCGCTCGTTTTCTGCGCCTGACCAACTTTTTCTTTGGCGAGAGGCAAGTCGACGAAGAGGGATATCACGCCCGTCGGACTTGGTGGGACGTCTTGTCAGCCGCCAAGGGAGATCCGGAACACCCGGTAGTCGATGGACATCCGCAAAATGACGACAGTGAGAAGCCCAGTGTCTACTTCGCTCGTGATGGACGATTTGTACGGGCACCTGCTTCCGATCAAGTCCGCATCCCTAAAGGCAGTCAAGTGTTCCTTGAGGTGACCGAGTCTAATCAGCGGGTTGACGGGGCACCGGATACGGATCAGGGTCTCCATGGGCGAGCCAACGACATGTTCACCAAAGTTTACATTCCGCCGCGCTTCCGTACTCGCATTGCAGCCTTCATCCTACTGATCTGGGTGTTTGCTGCTGCCACCGGTGTAGGCATCACCGTTGTTCCTCTGATCATTGGCCGAAAGGTCATGTCGTCCACTTTCCCTCACCGACCGCTCAACGATGTGTATGCCTTCTCCACGGGCACATCCATCGTTGGCACTGCTGCCTACATTGTGTACTATTCGCGTCCTTTCCTTACCGCGGCGAAAGACCGGTTGAGCCCTTACCTACAGTCCCCTAGGGAGGCATGCGTCGGTGTGATGCATATCGTCCTCGATGCGGCTCGAATTACCTATGTTCTCGCCACGTTCGCGGTGCTTCTGCCGTCCCTTGTTGCGCTAGTCATGGAACTTTATCTCTTAGTTCCAGCGCACACGTATGTTGGTGGCGCCCAGGCCCATGTCATCCACTTCATCCAGGACTGGACACTCGGAGTGCTCTATGTACAAATGGCCGTTAAGTTTGTGTTGTGGAATGCTGCCTCCCGTCCAGCAGCGGCACTGAATGCTGTTGTTCGAGATGGAATGCTGAAGCCTAATGCTAAAGTGACTACGCGAGCAGTTCTGCTCCCGGTGATGCTGCTGGCTACGCTTGCGGTCGTGGTGCCACTGATCCTTGGATTCAGCATGAATGCCACGGTATTCTCATCCACGCCGGAGGTGCAGTCCAAGGTTTACCGGTATGCGTATCCGGCCACGTTGGTAATCAGTCTGATGGGCTGGCTAGTGTATCTGGTACGGCGGCAAGTGGAGATTTGGCGAGTGAATATCCGGGACGACGTCTACCTAATTGGGGAGCGCCTGCACAATTTCCGCGAGAAGCGGGCACGGGATGTCGGGGTGCCACGGCGAGTCATTACCGGGTAAGCGATTTTGTCGTCGTTGCCTGGACCCTTCTTTCCTCTTTATCATTCAATTTCTATGTAAATCAGTTACAAAGTTTCAATAGACGTATTTCAAAACAGCAAATATGATGATTAGACATGATAACTAGGTGGGTGCCTGTAGGACAGCCGCCTAGCATTGGATTGTTGTTGTGATGCATCATACATTATAGTAGGTTGCGTGTACTGATGGAGCAAACAAGGGCAGTCAGTGTGAGTAGGTAATAGTAGAGTTTCAAGGGTCATTCGGTGTAACCCTGACCCTAGTGGGGCTTGTGATGTGTTTCGACAGCAGAACCTTCAACAACAAGCATGATGGGGATTATCCAACTGGGGGGCTAATAAGGTAGAGATGACTACGTAGATACTTGCAAGATTTACCTGTCTGCCTAGGGACGATCTGGTACCATTTCCTGATTTGGGATAGTGCCAACACATGCAAGAAATGCTACTCGGCGGGTTCACCCGCTCTTGAATGTTGGGTTAGTCATGCCGCACAATTACTCTAAATCAGTAATGCACGTGCCCATCAGCAGCGCGCGGGCCAATCACAGCCCCGCCGTGGTGGATCAGGCCAAAAAGGCGGCTGCCTGGGGATGAGATGTGGCTTGGCAGCGGGTTGAGGCTTTGCGGGCACTCGCCACTCCCTATTGGTTAGGCAACAGGATTCCCACCTTATTCTTAACTTATTCTTAGTGACTGACCTTCCCTCCCATCTTCGCTCTCGCTACTGCACTGTCTATCTAACCCCCATCACCACAACCCACCACCATGTTGCACTACTACTAACAGATAGTGCCTGTCTTCCCTACCCCCTCTCCTCCGCTCTGTTATCAGACCATGCGTCTTCTCTAGACCTCTTCCCCAACCCACTCTGCAATGTTCTGAAAGAGCTCCAATCCCCGTCCTTCGTTTACCTGCGTGATACCCCCGGACTCTGCGCGCCAAGATGTCCGTCCTCCGCCATCATGGGGGTGCCTACCTCCAACGGCGCCTCACCAAAATGTATACCGATACAAAGACCTCTTGTGAGAGTGTCACTACGGCTTCCATTGCGGTTGATGATCCCGAATTGGTCATGCTGCATCGCAGTTTCAAGACCCAAAGAGATCGATTGCTAGCGTGGGGCCTGGACTGGAGCGATGCCAGTGCCGCCCAGCCCAATGATATTGACGAATCATTAACCCAAGCTGGCTACAGTGAGATTGTCGAGAGTGTTATGTCTTCCATTCAGGTGCTGCTGAATGAGGCGGAGCGTATCCAGCATGGCGGTGCCTCCGATCTGCCTCCGAAAGGCGCTAGTGCGGACACTCCCAAGGGCGGTCTCAGTGGCCTTCCAGTCAAGTCTCACTGGACCAGTGATGAGATCAGCCGTTCCAAGGCTCTGCTGGCAGACCTGGAAGGCTATATCGACACCCTCTATGACCTGTCGAGCTCGCGACGCAACATGAGTGCTAGCTTGACTGCTGGTGGACAGTCCACCACCAAGGGCCGATCCCGGCCCGCTGCCATTTCTGACTACTCCATCTTGGACTCAAAAGCCTACCACGGTGCATCTTTCGACGGCACACAACAGAGTCCTTTTGATGTAGCACCCTCGCCTACGCACAATGCGGCGGCATTCAGCCAGGCTCGATCTGAGAAGATGCCTTTCGATAAGGCTCCGCTGGACACTTATGTCATTGATCGTTCTGCCCTACAGTTGTCTGGTTCTTCGCATGACAACAACCCGCCCCCTTATGAGCAGGTGGCAGCTTCTACCAACTCTCGGGCCATCGGTCGCATCAGGACATCGGCATCGCCTTTTCTTTACGGCACCAAAGACTCGACAGCAACAATTCTCGTCGATTACATGCCGATGATGCTTGAAGCATCGAGTGCTGCCACCAAGCCGGAGAAGAAACGACTGGACCATGTACAGCGGACTCTGGAGCAGCTCGTGCAGAATTCGCGTGTGTCTCACCTGGGCTTGCTGAAGTTCCTGGGCTATTTTATCGACATGCCAAATTCCCGATACGCATTCGTCTATCAGATGCCTATGGACTACTTCCCATTCCTTCGCAACCCGACTGATCTCTTGAATGGGTTGAAGCCAAAACCCCTCGTCTCCCTTTTTCAAACAAGCGATGAACACCCTATCCCGAATTTAGAAACGCGCTTTCGCTTAGCTTATGACCTCCTGATGGCAGTTCTACAGCTGAGGAGTCAGAACCTTGTACATGGCAACATCAACAGCAGTAACATTCTTATCTTCCCCGGCTTGACGAACTCGAACCGCGATGAAGTCGGACTCACGGAGGATTTGCGCCGTCCCTACCTAACATCATTTGCTCAATTTTCTGGAAACGGGCCGTCACCCGAACCCTTGTCTTCCAGCATATATCGTCACCCAGACGATAAGCGGTCGATGGAGGATGATGCTGCCTGGGCCTATGACCTGTACTCACTTGGCCTCGTGCTGCTCGAAATTGGACTTTGGACTCCCATTAGTCGGATCTGGAAGATGAAGTACAACAACTCTATGTTCAAGCAAAGAATCGAGAACACCTACTTGAAGAAGCTGGGCCCCAAATGCGGCAGCGCATATCTCCACGTGGTACAGCTGTGCTTGGATGCACCAAACTTCCATCTGTCGACCCAGCCGTTCGATGACCTGAACCTCCGCGTCCCTCAGGCCTTCCACTACCCCGTCCTAGACCTCTCCGCGCCTGACAGCATCTTCTCGTTCTCTATGAACTTTCTTTACACTATGTGCAAGATTGTCTGGTCCTGCTGCAGGATAGACATGTTCTCTGCCCCTACCGCTGATGAGCTGGATGATTGCCTTCCGCTTGCACTTGTTCCTGGCCTGGATTCGGCGCCGATGAAGGAACCCGTTCGTGAGTTCAAACCTACTCCGGAGCCCATCCGACCTTTCCAGGAACCGTTTGCCACGCTACCTACTGCCGACATGAAGATGTTCCGGGATAAGATCAATGTGGAGGAGCGCAAGGTACGAAAGCGCACTTGCAAAAAACTTTCGGGCCTAGAGATTCCACAAGACCATCTCAATAAATGGAACTTCCAGATGCTACCACGCTTGAGGAAGCTTCTACAGAAGATCCTGAAGGACTCTGCCGAATCTTGCAGTGTTACACTCATGATGACTGGTGAAACGGTCGACAACGCCAAGACCACGGTCTGTGTCACTTGTGCCAGTGCAAAGAAGGTTCGGGCCGCACTCAAGAAGTATTTTGTCATTGATAGCGAAGAGTGGGATCTCCTTGTCCTTCGTGGCGATGTACAGAGATCGAAGGTCCCACGCAAGAAGCGCCGCAGGCCGGCAATGGCAGGACAAGGAAATGCTGGCGCACCTTCGTTGGTCCAGAATGACCCAAACCCTTGCTATCAGGAACGGCCTCTTTGCGGTGCATCAATTGGCGCTTTTATCAACGAAGAACATCTGCCACCTGTATCTTATGGGGGAGCTATCCTGGTCGATGGCATGCCCTATGGGATGACTGTCCATCACATGCTAGAATCACCAAGTGACCAGGAGGATGCGGATGAGCCGGATACCGGTGGCCCTCTACGGTCTTCTGCAAATTGGATGCACGATATGGCAGCCCCTCAGAACCCAGAGTTTATGTACTCCTGGGCTGACGAGGGCCCGTCAGATGTCGCATCAGACCTTGAGTTTGAGGTTTCGGAAGACGAGGATGGGGATGATATCTCGCTGTCACCCAGTCTAGATGGAACATTCGAAGACTCATACCTTTCCGAAGGCTACTCCTCTGACGAAGATGGGGGGAATGCTGATGACCCCTATGACGACGAAGATGCAGCATCCATAGGCGATACTCCTGGGATTGATCCTGGAGACGAGCCCTTGCTATACGTCACACAGCCAGCCATTGATGACATCGATGAAAGTTATTTTCCAAGCCCTGAAGACCGCGATGATGAACATCTTGCCTCTCACGCTTTTGGATACGTACACGCATCCTCGGGTGTTCGGCGCTGGACGCGAAAAGGGATCCGACACGAGATTGACTGGGCACTGATCAAGATCAACGATGAGCGCATCAACGTGCGCAATATCGTATACGACAAGACGTGCGTAATGAGGCCAGACGCGTATGGACAGAGACGGGCCCAACAGGCGCGCATGCCGCGGCAACCAGAGACTATCTATCTCAATAACATTTGCCGGCTAGAAGACCTGGGGGGCCTCCGAGTCCACTGCTGTGGCCGAACCAGTGGCCTGCAAACCGGCCAGATCTCCAGAGCCATGACTCTTGTCAAACTGCATGGGCGACAAACCTTCTCCACCAGCTTCTGTGTTGATGGGAACTTCGGAGGTAAGTGAGTCTGACTCGTCTTTACAGACACATATTCGATTAAGGAATCCTTACTAATTTTTCTTACAGTGCCCGGCGACTCAGGAGCTTGGGTGTTCGAAAAGGCCAGCGGTCGAGTTTGCGGCCACGTTCTCGCGTGGTCCGACAAAACCCGCACCGCTTACATCGCCCCCATGGAAATACTCCTCGAAGACATCGCTCGCTCCCTGAATGCCAACTACATCAGTCTGCCGCCCGGCAATCCTGACGAGTCCCGCGCCAGTTCCATGCATCATCGCCCAAACCCAAACCCGTCTGCCATGGACCCCTACCACCAACATCCTGCCTACCACGCCCCTCGCCCTATCCGCGGCCAACTCCCCGTGGACATTAACCCTCTTCGTATCGATGACGGAGACATGGGCTCCTCCGTGAATCCCAGTCGCGGAACGCGCGAAGTATCAACCCCATACCGGGGAATGCCTATCCTTACCCCACCTCGAAGCCTGGAAAGGCAACTCGCATGACTTGCTCGCTGCTCTTCCCTCGCCTCCATAAGCAGCACTACTATACATTCCTTACCTTAATCACTGTACTTGCTACTATATTCCCCACCCGCACACTGACGGATTTTTTCCTTTTTTGATGACATTGATTTGAACGAGTGGACAAGAACATAATACCCCTTTTTGTTTGTTGGTTGTTGCTATTATTTTGCGTTGCTGTTTTCGGTGTTTGAGCTGGTTGGTTCCATCCCTACGCTGATGGATGAGAGATGGATGGATGGATACTTGCAGACTAGTTTTGGACTAGTTACTATCTGTCTGTCAAAGGTGATATCATTAGCCTATCTATATACACAAGTCGAGTTCCCTTCCCTCGCCAGGGGATCTGAATTGAGCTCTTTGGATTGAGACAGATATGGTGCTCCTATACTAGGTGGTACTTGAGTAAACAATGGCTATAGTCTAGCTACTATGACTGCGAACTGCAGTAGTACTCAGCAGTAATGATGATTTCTATTGCGGCCGTAAGCAACGTCGACATCAAACAGTGGTACAGACTTAACTAACTTCTAGTTTATCTTACCCCTCAGTTACTTCCACTTACCCCTTAACTATTCGTATCTTTGCCTGCTTCATGGATCCAGTACTAAGAATCAGTTACAATTACATAGATATTACAGATATACGACTTGAAAAATTCCACACTTGAAATTGTAATCATTTGCATTGTCAAAAGGAAAAGGCGTCGTAAGATACAGAACAGCCACACAGAAACCATGCTCAATAACCGACCGGCAACAAACAGGTAATCAGAAAAATAAAACAGACGTAACATGACCGACGTTATATGCATCGCATCACTCAATCAATACCAATCAATCCGTGTACCCATTGGTTTAACTTGCTTGAAGCCCCATTAACCCAGCCAGCAAGATAACAGAACCCAAAAGTAGAAAGTGAAGTAAATGCGGGCAGGATAGTTTGACCTTCTCCTAGTCCAATGATAATGCCAAAGGCTTTATATAAAAGGTTTCTTTGAGAAGGGAAAAAAAAGAAAAGGGAATGAAGGCTCTTTTTTATTGAGCGTCTTCATGAAGGGGAAGGGAAGATCATGAATGATGCTCTTAGTTGGAAGAAAGGTACTTGAGAACAGCCTCCTTCTCCTCCACGGGGAGAACGCTGAGGATCTGCTGCACACCCTTCAGAGCACCGTCACGGTTGTTGAGGAGCAGCTGGGCAACTTCCGTGGCCACGCTCTCGGCCTTGAGAGAGTCGACCTTGGTCTGGATGGCCTTCTTGTTCTCCTCGTACCAGGTGGCGACGCGCTGGTCTTCGCGCTGCAGTTCCTCGTCGAGCAGGCCAGTCCAGCTGTGCAGAGTGCGGAGGTGCACAGCACGAGCGGACTCAGTCAAGACAGGGGCGTTGGAACCAGCAGGGATAGCAACAGAGCCGTCGCGAGCAGCAGGGTTGGGAGCGGCAGCAACCATGCGCTTGACAATAAGCTCCTCGCTGAGTCTGCGGCGCAGACGCCAGTAGAAGAAGCGACGGGCGTTCTTCCAGGTGAGGGGATGGCGGATGGTGTTCTTGGCCTCCATGCGGCCAGCACGGTCGTGGAGATCAGCAAACTGCAGAGCAATCTGCAGGTAGACGGGCAGAAGCTGCTCCTCGCGGGCAGCCATCTTGGCCTTGATATCAGAGAGCTGCTCCTTGCTGAGGGACTGGTCCTCGAGAGAGCGGCGGAGCTCGCCATAGGTGGCATCCAGACGAGCCATAGTGTCGAGCTGCTTGTCGCGACGGTACTTGATGTTGACGATACCCTCGGGCTCGAGGACACCACCACGGGCCTCCACGTCGGCATACATCTCCATCTGGTCGGGGTTGATGGTGGGATCGACAACAACCCAGGATCCACCACGAAGCTCACCATGGGGCGGGATGTAGATGAAGATGGGCTGCTCGTACTTGACGAGGGCATCGACGATGTAAGAACCGTACTTGAGGACCTCGTTGTACATGTCACGCTGACCACCGGAGAAACCTCTCCAGTTAGCCAGGATCATAACAGGAAGCTGCTCACCGTTGTTGAAGTCACGGAGGGCCTGGGCGGTCTTGTAGGCGGAGTTGGGGTACCAGACACCACCAGCTTCGTTGGCGACCATCTCCATGGAGTCAGGGTTGGCAGGGTCGGCAGGAGTGACGTTCTCAACGGAGCGAGTCTCAACAGCAATCACACCCATGGGAATGCCACCGAGTCTGGCACGACCAACAACCACGGTGCGAGCCCAGCCTCCAAGAGCCTCCTCGAAAGAGCCAGTATCGAACAGACCAGGCAGGAAGCCTTCCTCGTCTTCCTTACCGGCAATGAGCCAGCGGGGATCGTAGGGCTGCTTGGAGGGAGGGTAGTAGGCGACATCGCGGTCCCAAGTGTCGGACCAGGGGCGGATAGGGATGGGGGCACCCTTCCTGTCGGGGACGAAGGACATCCACTCGACAATCTTCTGCACACCCTCGAAGTCATCGTTGGCAGTCATGTGGGACACACCGTTGCGGTACATGATCTGAGTGCCACCAAGCTGCAAGTTGGAAGTGTACACTTCTCTACCCAACAGCTTGTTGATAGCGGGGGCACCAGTGAGGATGATGGGCTGGCCCTCGACCTGGATGGCTCTCTGTCCAAGACGGACAAGGTAGGCACCAATACCAACGGAACGGCAAGTAACGAGGGTGATGGTGAAGATGTCTTCGTAAGCCTTGGAGGTGGCACCGGCAATAAGACCGGAGCCCTTGAGACACTCGACACCCAGACCGTCCTTGGCACCGATGACGGTGGTGATCTTGTGGCGCACCTCACCCTCATCCTGGATCTCCTCAGTGATGACTTCCTTCTTCTTGCTAGCATCAAGCTTCTGCTTAACCTCGGGAGTGAAGTACAGGTACTTGAAACCGGCGGCGGGGTTCTCGGGGTCGTTCCAGGCGACGGAGAAGTAAGGAATCAACTCGTCAGCCATGCCGATACGAGCACCGGAGTTGGCAGAAAGGTAGATACGAGGGATACCCAATTTGCGAGCCAGTTCAGTGCACTTGTGGAAGAACTTGTCTTCAGCGGGACCGAAGGAACCAATCTGGAAGGTGATGTCGTTGGCAACAATGATGAAGCGTCTACCACGGGGATACTCGGGGGTACGGGCAGTGACGATCCAACCAACCATACCATGGGTGTTGGTGCCAGGGCCGCGGGAGATCTCGACCAGGTTGTCATGCTCATCAAGAACAAGCTCGCTGTAGTCAATGCACTCGCCAACAGGAGGGCGCTGGTCGGCCAAGGAGGGGATATTGGCAATGGCCTTGGTCCAGCTGTTCTGGAAGGCTTGTCTGAAGAGCTCAGGGAAGTCATAGACGTACTGAGTACCCATGAGGTGGGCCTTGTAGCGCTTGGGCTGCAGCCATTCCTTGGTAGGGTAAGGAGTGGAGACAGGACGCAAGTGCATGGAGCCCAGCTTGTTGCTGCCACCATCAATGCTGTGGAAGATCCACTCGCCCTTCTCAGTCTTCTTCTCAATGTACAGCTCAACCTGGATGATGAATCCGTAGGTGTTGGTGATGATCACGCGCAGGGGGTAGGGAACACCGGTGACGGGGTCGGTGCACAGAATGCGGATTTCAGCACCGGTAACACGCAGTCTCCAGAGACGACGGCCGAAGCGCTCCAAGAAACCGGCGAGGGCCTCCTCGACATCCTTAGGCTGCAGGTTGAAGACAGGGGAGAAGTTGATGAAGATGTGGTTCAGATCGGAGTTGTTGTTGCCAATAATCTCCAGGGCGTCCAGAATGTCATTCATGAGACGGTCAGCCTCTGAGGTCAGGTACTCCGCAGTGGGAATATCATCGCGCAGGCGACCGGGGCGCACGACGGCACGAACGAAGTAGCGCTTGTCCACAGCCTTGTCGTTCTCAGGGCCCTTTCCGAGAGCCTCGTAGACGTGGATGTTCCGGTTCTCGGTGAAGACAGGCTTGATCTTGAACTTGGACAGACGACCGAGCTCCAGCTGGAAGGCAAGGGCAGGCTCGTTGTGGCGGATACTCTCATCCTCATCGTAGTTGGGGCCACGGAAAGTGAAGTATCCGGGGTAGATACCGTTCTTGCCGCAGATGAAGGTGACACGGCGGATGCGACGAGCAAGCAGTTCTTCCTTGAGGTCTGCCAGCATGTTGTTGATCTGGGAGACGATCTGGTTGTCGTCAAGATCCTCCACATCACGAATGGCGACGTTGAGGACACCAGTCAACTCATTCTCGTTCTCAACCCGGGGAGCAGGGCGGCGCTTGCCCTCCAGGTTAGCGAGAAGGCCGTTGTCACTGGCCTTCTTCTTCGAGCCAGCTCTGGGGAAGATCTCGAGGGCTCTGGGAAGGAACTCCTCAGCATCCTCCAGGTACTGAACAGGGATGATGGCACCCTTTCTCATGGACTCGTTGCCGTCGCCAACCAGGTACGACATGTCACTGATGGAGTTGATCCGCTTGAAGGGGTTCATCTCAGCTGTAGGGGTGCTGGGGGTCGACGGGTCAGTGGTGATAGGGCCGAACTCGGGCTGTCCCAGCTTGTCAAGAGTGAAGTCCCAAGAGAGCAGTGGAACCTCTCCGGAAGCAGAGTACTGGATACCCTTGACAGTGTAGGCACGGTAAGCGCGGCGCACGTAGACCTCAAGAGCAGCCAGAGTAACCCAGACATCCTGGTGAACGAAGAAGCGCGGCAGCACGTCGAAGACGGTGTACTTGGAGTCCACCACCTCCTTGAGGACCTGGGAATCGGGCTCACGGTGCTCCCAGCCGGTCTCACCATAGCTGGACTCGACAACCGACGAACGCAGGATGAGTTCCATCTGGGACAGGCGCTCCTCCAAGGATGGGAGGGCACACTGGATCAGAAGCTCACGGGCCTTAAGAGTGACCTTGGCAGCAGCGCGAGACTCGAACTCAGTCAGCTTCTTCAGGATGGGCTTGAAGTACTTGGAGACATTGCCGACGTTGGGCTGGTTGGGGCGGTACATGGCCAGAATGGCGAGGATGAGGTTGTTCTTGGCACCAATGCGGCTGTGGGAGAGGACGGTCTGAACGACCTTGCCAATGTCCTCCTTGTTCTCGTCACGAAGCTTCAGGATAGAGTCTTCATCGCGGAGGTTGCGGCCAGCGAAGAGCTTCTCCACCTCATAGTACTGTTCCAGGAGACCAATGAAGACATTGAACTCGTGGACCTTAAGACCATCCAGGTAC